TTAGTGAAGTTAAAAAATGTAAAATTTAAGAACTACAGAAGTTTAACAAGTCTAAAAAAATCACAGTATGGTTCAGTAATGTACAGTGTCAAACTGGGATGCGTACATTGAACTTCAGTGATGTACAGTGCCAGTCTGGGATGCGTACAGTGATCAACAGTAGTGTACTGTGCTGTACAGAGATTGAGTACTGTACGCGTCTGTGATGTACAGTGTTGTACTGTGGAGGCGTACAATGAGAGACAGTGGTGTACTGTGCTGTACAGTGGGGACATACAGTAATGTACAGGGATGTACAAAAAATAACAGTGAGGTTGTACTGTGATTTACCGAGGATTACAGTAGGTACAGGGAATTTGTACAGTGACTGTACAGTGCTTAAACAGAGAAAATCAGAACTTTAACAGTAGGTAACAGAGTTTATCAGAGATTTTTCAGAATATCAGGGAATTTTAAGTTCAGTAGTGATAGTTCTTTGATAAAAAAAAACCCTTAACCCCCCCCCCCCCCCCCTCCAAAATAAATCTACATTAAAAGAAAAGTTATTCTTGTATTCTTCAGACATTTTTCATTGAGAATCTTATGTAAATTTTTATTTCAATCTTTTTTTTTAGCTCACCTGAGCTGAAAGCTCAAGTGAGCTTTTCTGATCACCTGTTGTTTGTCGTCTGTCCATCTGTAAACTTTTCACATTTTCAACTTCTTCTCAAGAACCACAGAGCCAATTTTAATCTAACTTAGTACAATGTATCCTTCGGTGAAGGGGAATTTAAAATATTAAAATGAGAGGCCACTTGAGCTCCCTTACAAGGGGAGATAATCAAGAAAAGGCAAAAAATAAGGTAGGGTCATTAAAAAATCTCAAGAAGCACTGGGTCAGAAAAGCTGATTCTTATGTGGAAGCATCTTGGGATAGTGTAGATTCTACATTGTTAAAATCATGACCCCCGGGGGTAGGGCTGGGCCATAATAGGAAAACAAATTTTTACATTGAAATTAATAGCAAAAATCTTCTCAAGAATCACAGAGCCAGAAAAGCTTAAAACTTATGTGGAAACATCCCGAGGTAGTGTAGATTCTAAATTTAAATTCTGGTGAACAGCATGGACAGAATTTAACTCAGGTGAGCATTGTATTGAATGGTCCTTTTTTTCCTTATATTAATTAATCCTGCCTAGTTAGGGGATGAATTCTGCAAGGCTGAAATGCTCTGTATTTTCATTTTTAGCTCTGTCAGTCCACAGACTCTTTATACTGATAACAGTACTTGCTCCTTTTTTACAGGGTGCTTTTTGTTAATTTTGTGGCTCTGTTCTGGAACACTTATCTTGCCTGGAAATCTGAGGCCGCTCATCGTAAATATCAATCAAATAGTCATTTACAAGAACAGGATGTTTGATGTATATTGATAGATCTATTTCAATTACACAGTATGCTTGAAATAATAGAATTTTAATTAAGAAGATATTTTCATTGTTTAGGAATATTCTGAAATCTTGAGCATTTGAAAAATTAAAACTGCAGGTATTTTAAAGCATATCAATTCTTTTTACTGTACTATCAATTTCATGAAAAAAAAATTGAAACTCAGTTGTTTGAAACTGGACAACATAAAAGTTACTGGTTAAATATATTTAATGTCTTGAATTCCTATTTATAAAAGCAAAGTTAAAAATTTTCACACAATATTTCAAGCAAAATGTGTGTATTCTAATGAAGTGTATTCGCTGTATCTCAGGATGATTTGAAAGGCATTTATGCTTGTCATTGAACATTTTTTTTCCAATGTTTATTTTTTTGTTGTTGTGATTTCTTATTAAACATCATTCAAATCTTGCTTTGTTTGCTTACTTTCAGGATATAACACGATATAACCTGTGCTTACTCTTTATCTATCTATTATTTTCTTTTCTATTTATATTCATTGGATATAAGGCAAAAAAAAAAAATTAATTTCTTGGTTCTCAGGCCCTTCCTCATCTCTTCCAAGGGTGCCTCATTGACCCTTTTTATTGCTAAATCAATAAAATAAAAACAACAAATCACCTCCCTCATCATTTTTTGAGGTTTTGTACAATGTAAAAAGCTGCCTCATCATGTTTTTGGGGCAATAAAAAGTAAAAAAAACAAAAAAAAAAAAAAAACAAAAACATGCCCCCCTCCTTTATCATACTTCTTGAAAAAAAGACCTTAGAACCAAGGAATTAACTTTGCATGGTCTAATGGAAAGTCATGCAAGGACATTTTGCCTTCATCATTAGAGAGCAAATTGAAAAAATTGAAAAGAGGGGAGGGGGGTGGCAAATTCAACAGAAACAATTATCTCTTTATAACACAAGTGTTCCTGGTCATATCTAAAGGGACAGATTCGTTTACAGATATGGTGGTAAAAATGACATAGGGGCAACAATTACCGATACTGTGAGGAACTAGCAACCTTGGGAACTTTTTTTTTTTCAAAAGAATGGTTCAAGTCAAGATTTTTTTTTAGTAGAATATAACACCTTACATTTATCTTAGATACAAGAGTTTGCACCTTTCATTTACTAACTATTCATTTACTTAATATTATTTTACTACATAACATAGTCATCTACTAAGTTTCGAATTTTTGCCTTATTTTTGTGTGTCCGTGTGGGTGTGTGTTTTGTAGAAAAAAAAATACTAGAATGGGCATAGACACAGTAACATTGCTAGTTACTTTACAATTTTTCATTTCTCTAAATTGAAAGGACTTCAGACGAGACCGTATTATAAATCAAGGTCCATTTTGAGGTACATGCTGGCACAAAAAAGATGCAGAACTGTAGCTCTCTGTTTGAGAAAATATGAAAAGACATCACGTGTTAATGGTTTTGCTCTCTTACATTTCTTTTCTAAATTTTTGCAATTATACGAGGGTCATCAAGAAAATGTCCTTATATTAATATAAGATCAGCACCGTCCTTTATCAATGCGCTGTAGATTTCTAATAACTGTTTCTAACTATCAAATGTAAGTCATGAACTGGAAAATTTCGAAGTATTAAAATCTGTGTCTATGCCTATTTAAACATATTCTCTGTGTTTTGATTATTCATTAGAGTAGACTTTATTAAAGTTAGCAATTCAGTGACCTCATTGTCTGTCTAAAATCTGTTTAATATTACTTGATACCATTATTAACTTCAATTTCTATTTGCGAGAACTTTATTGTGGGTGGAGTTTTTGCTGGAGAATCTCGGAGAAAGGATTTATCTCCAAGGTCGCGGGTTCAAATCCCACTGCAAGCGCAACGTGGAAACCGATATTTCGGGTGAAACCTATAAACCGAGGTCCAATGACGCAATAAGCACGAAAAATATCCCTCCAGTCCTGCTCAGTGGCCCAGAATATTGGGTTTAGGTTCATTAAACAACAAACAAGCAAACGAGACAAAAAAAGGGGGTATCAGACGTTTTTATTGAGGGGACACGAATGTGTTCTATAGTATACTATATATCGGCAAAATCCACCCTTCGGACATGATCCATGATTTGTATGTCCGACCATACATGCTAGGAAATATCTAGAAAACTCTTTAAAATTATCTAGCCAGTCTTAAAGTAGGCTTTGAGAAGGATATACTCAGAAGTGCGTGTAAGTTTTAGTAACATGTTAACCATAGGGAAGCTATGTAAGTAAAATATTGGTATGATCAGGAAATCATATCATCCCGTTGGTCATTATTATTGATGAATACAACCCTCGATCCTCCCCTCCTTTCCTTCAATAGACGCGTTGATTGGAGGGGGTCCTGTTTACATAGCGTTAACCCCCTTCCTCTATCTCTTTAAAAGAGGGGAGGTCCTGTTCACAAAGCGAGATATTATGGTCGTAAAGATGTTAATTCCAGTTTAGCTATTGTTTTATTCGAAAATATGCATTTTACTCGTGTAATATTAAAAGATACGCTCAAGATGTTAAATACTAGCACTGCAGATTGTGTTCTGTAGAGATCAAAGGCACCTGGCACATTTTACAAGGTAGGTGGGTTCGGTATTTTTTGATTGAAAATATTGTCATTTGTAGGACTTTTTTTTTAATTTGGACATTGGTTTCGTTTTTTGACGGTTTGTGTTTTTTAAATGCATTAGTATATATTAAATTCTTTTATGAAATTGACTGAAGAGAATTACGATCTGAATTATTATTCCCCGACAGATTAGTCTACAATATATATAAATACTCTCTTTCTTCAAGCAAGTTATTTACGTACATGTAATAGTATACACTTATCCACTGGTTGTGAGTGTTTTATTATACTGATGTATATTATAATTTCTAAGGTTAACCTTAACGTTTGAATTTTCTTTGGAGTTAGATAATACTGCAAGAATGTATCACAATGCTTTAATGACATCAAAGAAATTAAAATTGGCGTCAAAAATTGCATGAAAATTTTCCAAGGGGTGGATAGCAAAAACTATACCCCGGGGTATAGTTTTCTATGCGGGGAAATTTTCAGACTATGAAGAATAGTTATTTTACCTTCTGAACTTTGTATAGGAAACATTTTAACAGAAGTATAATAACACTATATATTTAATTATACTTATGCATTTAACAAATCGTAAATTAATATTAAGGTTATTTTACTGTATTGCTTTAATAAAGAAGTAAATTCAACTTGCAACTCCTAACTTACATTAGAAATCGCTTCCTGACACGTCTTGCGTTGGTTTTTATCTGACCTCAGCTAAAAGTTCAAGTGAGCCTTTTTGACCATCCATTGTCCGTCATCCGTCCGTAATCCTTGGCCCAAACGCCTATGATGATGATTCGGATTGATGTACATGTTTATAAAATATGGTCTGTAAACATCAGTTTTCATGTTGTAGTGCCAGTTTATTGAAAACATTTATTCCTTTTGAAATTATCACCGGCAGTTATTGTTAAAGGCAGGGTTTGCTTGTGACTTTAATTTCCACATTCATTCACAAAAAATGTCCTAGAAGAGTGACGGTCCGTGTTTCGTTGTAGAATCCTGGTGGTTAATCTGGTCTCTATAGGCTGGAACTGTTACATGGCCTGGATCTCCGAGAAAGAACACGAGGATGTGGTCCTACACCACCACCCCCCGACTGACCAAAAGATCCACCCCCAAACAGAACAAAAAATCCACGCCAAACCCGCGATACCCAAGTCATCATTAGCGAGCTGTTCAAATAAAGAACGATGAAAAAATATCGCAGGTATTGCACGAAAATTAATATATTTATGATGTTAATGAAATATTTTAGAGATTGACATTGTCAATGCTTACATATGCAGTGTATATTAATTCGTGTACATTTATTTTGAAATGTAGGTCGATTCTACTGATTGCTGCCCAAGACGTCCTCCGATATCTGCCAACACGGAGACCAATATAATGTCGGGTGCACCCTTTTGTATTTTTCTTCGAGGTGAAATAGATTAGAGGGGACCAATGTGTATTTTATTTTACATTTTATACATTTTTATACATGTATTTATTATTATCAATACAACACCATTTTAAATTAGAAATGCGATGGTATAAATGTAAGGACATAGTTGAACACTTTTTTGTGGTATTTTATTGTTTGGTAGATCTACTTCGCTTTTGCAGATTCATTTTTTAAAGTAAACACCGCCAATGTCGCTCTCTCCCTGGTATTTTGTAAATGAATATCAGTGTTTGATTAGTTTTAAAGCTTTTATCAAGAATTTACTCTCCATTGGAACTCAACTATTCAACATTGTAAGAAACAGCGTTAAAATCGCTTTAAACATCTTGTTAGCTCACCTGAGCCGAAGGCTCAAGTGAGCTTTTCTGATCACATTTTGTCCGGCGTCCGTCTGTCCGTCTGTCTGTAAACTTTTCACATTTTGGACTTCTTCTCAAGAACCGCTGGGCCAATTTCAATCAAACTTGGCACAAAGTATCCTTGGGTGAAGGGGATTCAAGTTTGTTCAAATGAAGGGCCACGCCCTTTTCCAAGGAGAGATAATTATGAATTAGAGAAAAATTAATTGCATTTTTAAAAAAATCTTCTTCTTAAGAACCACTGGGCCAGGAAAGATGGAACTCATGTGGAATCATCCTCAGGTAGTGTAGATTCAAGTTTGTTCGAATCATGACCCCCGGGGCTAGGGTGGGGCCAAAATGGCCGACCCAAGTTTTACATAGGAATATATAGGAAAATTCTTTAAAAATCCTCTTCTCAAGAATAACAAAGCCATAATTGATCATATATTAATATGGAAGCATCCTTGGGAAGTGTAGATTCAAATTTGTTCAAATCATGACCCCCAGGGGTAGGGCGGGGCCACAATGGCTGACCAAAGTTTAACATAGCAATATATAGGAAAATTCTTGAAAAAATCTTCTTCTCAAGAACCACTGGGCCAGGAAAGATGGAACTCATGTGGAATCATCCCCAGGTAATGTAGATTCAAGTTTGTTTAAATCATGACCCCCGGGGCTAGGGTGGGGCCAAAATGGCCGACCCAAGTTTTACATAGGAATATATAGGAAAAATCTTTAAAAATCTTCTTCTCAAGAACCAGTGGGCCAGGAAAGATGAAACTCATGTGGAATCTTCCTCAGGTAGTGTAGATTCAAGTTTGTTTAAATCATGACCCCCTGGGCTAGGGTGGGGCAAAAATGGGCGACCCAAATTTTACATAGGGATATATAGGGAAATCTTTTAAAATCTTCTTTTCAAGCACTTTAAAGCTATGACTAGTGATATTCATATGGAATCATCCTCATGTAGTGTAGATTCTAGTTTGTTCAAATGATGAATGCCTGGGGGGGGGTTAAATTCAAGCCCGATGTGTTCAGGTGAGCGCTGTGGCCCCTGGGCCTCTTGTTTTTAAATGAGTGGTCTAGTACCCAAAATGGCATACCGGTAATTCCGCGAATTATCAATGGTTTCTAGGGTTGTCATTCAGATACTGAAAACAATAGCATTGATGTTTTCGAACATTTGTACCCGTTATACTCACGTAAGTCAGGTTTGTTCAAAACGAAATAATAGATGAATTTTGTGTTTACAAACGATTACACGTGTTCATTGATATTTTAATGCATTTATTTTTAGTGCCGCTGAAGTTCGTAAATTACTTGTATTTTAATGTCCATTGATAAACCTAAAGTTTCCATTAAATTGTCCATTGTCCGTTTCTTGTAAATCTTCATTTTGAAAATGGTTTCCCCTTTTATTTTGTAGTTACCAAAAAGATAAACAATTCTATACATAGTGTATAGGATTTACTATTGGAAAACAAATTTGCAATAATTAAAAATCCGTAAGAATATTTCAAACGGCTTTCCAGATGTTCACTTTTTTTTGCCTTTATTGCTATAAAATTTGTGGCCTAATTAAGTCCTTTATTTTGATTTATGCTTTGACGTTTGTTGAAAAGTAAGTAAAGTATGGTTCACGTGGACACGTAAAAGATCAGTTCTAGGAGCACTAACGAATTTCATCTTTGAATGTTTCTTGCTTAGAAAACCAGTTTTTCTTTTGGGAGAGAAAATCCCTAGGCTTCGACGTTTTTATGGATGATTTGGAAAGTAAATTGTTGTCAACCTTATAAACTGTTAAACACAGGTTGTATGTGAAGTGTTTGTCAGGTATTTTGTATTTATCCAGATTTGAAGCCTATTTTGACTTGATCTATAATTATTGTGAAGAATGAAGTCAACAAGTCTCAAATTATATGTATTTTATACAGAAGCCGGTTTAATACTTTATTGTTTTTATGAACAATTTATTCTGTTTGATTATTTTTTCCCTTTATATCTATTTTTAGCTCACCTGAGCCAAAGGCTCAAGTGAGCTTTTCTGATCACATTTTGTCCGTCGTCCGTCCGTCCGTCTGTCTAGCTGTCTGTCCGTCTGTAAACTTTTCACATTTTCGACTTCTTCTCAAGAACCACCGGGCCAATTTTGACCAAACTTGGTACAAAGCATTCTTGGGTGAAGGGGAATTTAAATTGTTAAAATAAAGGGCCAAGTCCCCTCTCAAGGGGAGATAATCAAGAAAAGACAAAAAAGGGTGGGGTCATTAAAAAATCTTCTTCTCAAGAACCACTGGGCCAGAAAAGCTGAAACTTATATGGAAGCATTCTGGGGTAGTGTAGATTCTAAATTGTTCAAATCATGACCCCCGGGGAAAGGGCGGGGTCACAATTGGGAATCAAAGTTTTACATAGAAATATATAGGAAAAATCTTTGAAAATCTTCTTCTCAAGAACCATGGGGCCAGAAAAGCTGAAACGTATATGGAAGCATCCTGGGGTAGTGTAGATTCTAAATTCTTCAAATCATGACCCCCGGGGGAAGGGCGGGGCCACAATGGAGAATCAAAGTTTTACATAGAAATATATAGGAAAAATCTTTGAAAATCTTCTTCTCAAGAACCACTGGGCCAGAAAAGCTGAAACATATGTGGAAGCATCCTGGGGTAGTGTAGATTCTAAATTCTTCAAATCATGACCCCCGGGGGAAGGGCGGGGCCACAATGGAGAATCAAAGTTTTACATAGAAATATATAGGAAAAATCTTTGAAAATCTTCTTCTCAAGAACCATGGGGCCAGAAAAGCTGAAACGTATGTGAAAGCATCCTGGGGTAGTGTAGATTCTAAATTGTTCAAATCATGACCCCCGGGGAAAGGGCGGGGCACAATGGGGAATCAAAGTTATACATAGAAATATATAGGAAAAATCTTTGAAAATCTTCTTCTCAAGAACCACTGGGCCAGAAAAGCTGAAACTTATGTAGAAGCATCCTGGGGTAATGTAGATTCTAAATTCTTCAAATCATGACCCCCGGGGGAAGGACGGGGCCACAATGGGGAATCAAAGTTATACATAGATATATATATAGGAAAAATCTTTGAAAATCTTCTTCTCAAGAACCACTGGGCCAGAAAAGCTGAAACTTATGTGGAAGTGTTCTGAGGTAGTGTAGATTCTAAATTGTTTAAATCATGACCTCCGGGGGAAGGGCGGGGCCACAATGGGGAATCAAAGTTTTACATAGAAATATATAGGAAAAATCTTTGAAAATCTTCTTCTCAAGAACCACTGGGCCAGAAAAGCTGAAACTTATGTAGAAGCATCCTGGGGTAGTGTAGATTCTAAATTCTTCAAATCATAACCCCCGGGGGAAGGGCGGGGCCACAATGGGGAATCAAAGTTATACATAGATATATATATATATAGGAAAAATCTTTGAAAATCTTCTTCTCAAGAACCACTGGGCCAGAAAAGCTGAAACTTATGTGCACATGGAAGGATCCTGGGGTAGTGTAGATTTCAAAATGTCTAAATTATGATCAGTGCGGTAGGGTGGGGATGCATTATGTATTACAAGGGGGAAATCTGGTAAAGAACAGAATGGTCAAAGCTTCTCAGGTGAGCGATGTGGCCCATGGGCCTCTTGTTTGTTATTTCCAGAGACACTTGTTTCCGCAATAAAATTTAGCCCCTTCCCCATTAGTAGTAATGATATCATAATACTACGCAGGAAAAAAAATATTATGGAAACAAGTGCCTATGGTATCTTTCTGATGTTTTTCTTATTTTGAATACATGTACTTTTTGTCAATTTTTTTTATATAGTGTTCAGTATTTCTTTAAAAGACTATATTTATATTCTGAGATATATAAGGTTATCTTACTTCAATACTTGTATGGCTCATATTGGGTTGATGTTTGATGCCTAGCTGATTCTCAAGTTATATTGAGAACGATTTTTCTGTTATGATACAGATGGCACATGCACCTGACGTTATAATTTTTCATCTAAATAAAAATTATAACCCATACCTAATTGTACACGATGAGTACACGGTGAGATAGGGTTTATTGTTTTTCTTAATCAGAAGAAAAAATGTGTAGCATCAGGTACCTGTGACAGGTGGGCGTATAATTATTATTCATATCAAATTAGTCTTAGTTATTTTTTTTTTTTAAATCTTTTTGCACTTTACTGTAGAAATGTAATACTTGTAAGTTGCAAGAAGGGTATAGTTACTATGACATGGGTTTTTGTATGGTTGAAATACTTAGATAGTGACTATTAGTTACGTACTCATTTGCAACTGAAAATTGATAATTAGTGTAAGACAAATGTTCAAGTTTTGAAAATCGGGTATTGTTTGAAATGCACACAAAAATGTGTCCGAATTCCAAGAATAGTGTCTATTTAATTGTTCAAACTTCATCTCAGTTCATTATATTCTATAAACGGGATTATTAGTAAATCTCAAAATATTTTTTTTTTAATTTTAAGGAAAGGCGAAAAAAAAGACAACTTACTTGAATTTTCTAATTTTAGGACCTGGCTTCAAGAACATAAACTAAAAACAGATTTACGTAAAAATTTCGATCATGAATATATACATGTAGAGTTTTAGTTATTTGTAGATTTGTATAAATCTACACAATGTACTTGTGAGGAAAATTGTATTTTCAAAATTATTTCAAAAGTTATATTGATTTGAAATCTTGACTTGAGTCTAATCTCAGTTTATGTCTTGGGGCCTGGTTAAATGCAAAATTTGCATTTTTTTCTCCAATTTTAAATTAAAGAAACGACAGTGATTTAATTTTTGTTCAGTTTTGCTGAATTTGAGTGTGACAGGAATTGTATGTTGAAAATGAACTCGAGATGAACTCATTATGTAAATCTTTGTATGCTCTACATATGTATTAGTTTCTCAAAATCCTTTTTAGCCGGGCTTATTGCTCAAAGAGCAATTGCCGGCTTATGTCATCCTGTTCAAAACAGGAAGTCAACCCCATAGTCGCCATTTTAAAGTTACGTGCAAAAATATAGTTCTTACTCTCAACCGCATTTGAGATTATACAAACGCTAAATAAAGCAACAAAATAAAACGAAGTTTTATCTAAATAAATAATCTTTAGTAGTAATGACTTTGAAAACTTCAGTCTTAAGTCAAAGAACATGATACTTCATTAGCGTAAGGATTTGTGATAATCAAGTGTTATCTCTACACATACGAGGAAAAGCAGGAGAGGGAACCAGACTGACCTGTTTGTTTACATTCAGCTGCGGTACCAGATTAATTCTAATTCTGACAAAATCGGACCGTGGTATTAGGATCGAAAACTCACTGTCAGTGTCTTATTATTTATATTGATAGTTTTAAAATAATTTTTTCATCGGAATTTTTAATCTGATATTCTTGTTATTTATCTGTTAATACAATATAAACGTATGATTTCTGTAAGAAATTCATTCTACTCTGTAAATGAGCCCGGCTCTCTGTACTTCTGAGTACTTTGATTGTTTAAAGAAACAGGTAAAGGAACACTCCATCTGAAAAGTTGTATAATTTATTTAGTCTCTTTCTCGAGTGCTAGGAAAGCAAATCCATTGCATCTGTTCGAATATGAAGGGTAGAAGGATATAGGGTATGCATGTGTCAGGTTTGATTTGATAATTATTGTCCACACATTGATGCCTTTTCCATTTTATACAGACCTTAAAATGCTACCCCAGATTTTTCCCTCGTTCAGCTACGAGCTTATTTTATTGGTGTACTATAAGTACTACGATGTCGTGCTTAGTTTCGGGTGAATGCCTATATAATTCTTGCCTCGCTAGTGTCGCTTCACCATGCAACAGAAATTATTTTTATATAATCTAAGTTTATATAAAACAAGTTTTAAATTCAGAATGATATATTAATGTGTTTAGTGGTATTTGGTATTTGATTTTCGATTTATATCAATTTTTTGCTCAATCTGTTATTCATGCACTAGTTTTTTCCATTATTTAAAAAATTGAGATTACATACATTAAAAGATATTGTATTTTAAATATTTTGTCAGACTGCCTTGCTTTATGTTGTTTTTTACATTAAAATTTAAATCACGTAGATTCCTTGTGTGTGTGTGTGTGTGTGTTTTTTTTTTTTTTTGAGAACTTAATTTTGACACTTGTACAAAATTTTGTGGGCCTTATCGCGGTATGAAATTCTAGTATATAAAATAGTTTGTTTTTTTTTTAATTTCATTAATTAAAATATTTTTCAATAAAGAAATGCAATGTTCATGTTTTTACTTAAAATTTTGGATTTAATAGGCACAAATTGTGCTCCTTAATTAACTGACATGTTTTATAGTCCTCTGAGGAAGACTTAATTTGAAAACCGTCTACATTAGAAGATGAAAACACTAGCTGTGATATTCATTTCAACATTCGGATACATGTATGTTGACGATGATTTAAATCAATTAACAATTGTCATTTTCATTGGTATGTCAACTTGATAAACCAGTGAACTTGAAATAAAAGTCGACACCACCGATTCCGTCATATCTGTTTCACATTTGAATCCTTTACTGACGATAAAGGCATAACAAATAAATTGTACTTTAAAAAGCACATTAATTTTATTCGTAAAGCAACATACTTAAGCTTCGTTGGCTTTGCGAGCGCTCTGGACGAACGAGATGACTCAAGTTTCTCCATGGTCAACTTTCGTGTAGTAATATTACACTATCACCTGCTCTCAACTTATTTGCCACTCAAGAGCTTGCCCTGAGTACGAACAATTTTTCAAGCAAGACATACTGGAAAAAACAAATCCGATTATTGAAGACCTTTCTCATGTATCAAATAGTCTCTTTAGTCTTTATAGAGACGTCCATCGATGTAGGCGAAGGCCTGCCCACTTCTCTAACAAACAGTTGAGAGACAAACATCATATGCATTTTAAATGAATCTAAATTTTAGATCACTTTTTATCAATTTAATAATTGATTAGATGTGGAACGGTGTGTGTTATTTCTTTAATCACTGAAATATAACGCGAGAGCGGATCACAACTTGCGTCTTCAATAATCGGATTAGTTTTTTCCACCATGTCGCGCTCAAGATTTAGTATGATGCCTAATAATTCCGGTTACGAATATTGAGAACACTTGCACCTCCGCGTGAGGAAAGCAAGTTTCGTAACTGACTGTATTGTAAGAAATGGAAGAATGGCAAAGAGCTTGATCGTGTTAAATATGACATAACACACTAGATTATACCTTGCCATGAATACCTTCATTCGAGTGCATTCTTTGCTGATGAAAAAACATCCATGGAAGACAGTGGCATTTTCGACTGGCAAGTATTGTTTACAAACAAAACGCGGCTTTCTCAAGATAGATAAAATAGCTAAGATGCATCCATGAAACCAGCAAAATATGCTCAATACATAACACAGTTTTCCTCTATGCATAAAGTATTTTCAAATACATTTATTTATATTTTTTTTAAATTCATGGCTTATCTTCTTGCTAAGTTTACAAACCACCTCGCATTGATTGTGTACATGGCCTATGGATATAGACTCGAATTTAGGGATGTTTCTCCATGAAAAGAACCTGATTTTTATGTTTTATGAAATTTAAAAAAATACTCACATTTAAAAAAAAATCATAAATATAGTAAAATTCTGAATAAATAAATTTAAAAAAAGATCCAAATCAAATGGGAAGTAAAAGGTAACTAAATTTATATTTATTGAACCTTTTTCTTTAAGAAATACTAGGATTTTTGTACGTCATTTATGTTGCATATATCCTTAAAACAATATTGCCCAGCGGACCTGGTGAGGGTTTGTTCCAATTAAGACACTGTTAGATTATTCTAACTACTGAACCTTTCTGTCCCTGGTTTTAGGCTTAATTCATTAGCGAGCTTGGTAATTAATTCATGGTTAAATCGTAAACAAATATATATAATGCCATTAGGTGTCCCGGGATTTCTGTAAATTTTAATCTTTTTTGTACTTTTTAAAATGAAATTCCATGTTATTTCCATTTGTCCTGGTCACTGTTTTGTAGGTTTTGTTATGTCAACTGGAGATGCCATTTCCCAGAAATTTGTCGAGAGAAAAAATAACTTGGATCGTAAAAGATACTTGCGATACTGGGCTTTTGGATTACTTATTGCTGTAAGTGAATCCGATATTTTACCAATACTGTTGCAAAATCAATGAAAGGTGTACAATTTAAAAGATTTTTTTAAGTACACACATATTATTTTTCTTTTTAAGGGGCCACTTTTTCATGGATGGTATTTAAGGCTGCAGAAGGCTTTTGGCAGCTCAAGATTTGCCCCATTTAAAATGGTGATCATAGATCAGGTAGCAAAAAGAAGTGTTTGTTTGTATTCATTATTTTATTTGCCTTTTTGAAAAAAGACACAGTCAATATGTTTTCTGTAAGTGTTAAATTTGACAGGACTGTTTTTGGTTTTTTTAATGGCATTGCATTTTTAACTTGGCAAGCAAATAGTATAACATAAAAAGTTCATTTAAGCAGTTATTAAGGTAATTTCCTCTGCTACACTAAAAATTATATATCCATTTCATTAAAACTTTAAATAAATGTTTATTTCTTAGATAAAAACTTTATTTTCTATATTTTCAGATAATTTTTGCTCCTGCCTTTCCTCCATTTTTCTTGGGTGTAATAGGAATAATGAAGGGAGACTCTCTATCAGTAGTCAAGCTGAAAATTCAAAATGTGAGCATGTATTTTAAATCATATCAGTGTTTAGGTCTTTGAGAATCTGTATGTGTTTTATCAAATTACAAATACTTCATTTATTTGTTTTCAGGATTATGTTGACATACTCACAAGTTGTTGGTCGGTAAGTAGCCATGTTCAGAAAACTGATTAATCAACATAAAAAAAATTAAACATTCAATTTCATTAAGGCTTGATTTATCTATTAAACTTTTAATTTCAGCTTTGGCCAGGTGTGCAGTTTTTAAACTTCCTGTTAGTTCCTGTGAGTCACAGGTAAAAATATTCTTATCAAATTTGGTGGACTGTTTTGTTTTAATATTTTTTGTAATGAAATTGTTTAAGTTTTAATTTATAAGTTTACTTAAATAATTAGTTTTGAATCATTTTCACACAGGGTTTTGCTAAACAATGCAGTAGCCCTTGGATGGGACACATACTTAGCATGGAAAGCAGATTCTAATGAAAGAAATACACTGGAGGCAAAACCAGCCATCTTACAGGCAGTGGCAGATAACTCTGTAAATCCCCCACCAATTCCATCATTATCTTCTCATGATCTCATCCTGTGAAAATGACAATTCACATCTATAGCTAATCCTGTGAGTTGGATTTTAGTCATCTCTGTACAAGATACTCCCATGAATTGGACATTAATTGTTTCCATACAAAATAATTGTTTCCAAACATAATAATCCTGTGAATTGGACTTTAATATCTCTGTAGAAGGTAGTCTAATGAATTGGACTAATTATCATCCGTTTGCCCAGATTATCTCCAACTGATCAGGTATTAATTCAAATATTACAATTAAAAGGAAATTCCTTGTCGGCAAGTCAAGTCAAGTAAATTTTGTTTATAGTCGGCACATATATACAATACAACAGAAATAACATGAGCTATGGTGAGCTCGTTAACTGACTTTAACAGGAAGATGAGGGATTACATGTCATTTATATTTATTTGTTGATCAACTCATTTACATGTACTGCATTTATTATGCAATGCTTGCTCCAATCTTTATTTTTGCATGGCTTCTAGCCATGTTAATCCTGAAGGGACATACCTTATTTAATGCCTCACCACTGTCAATGCTAGACTGTGATTAAGAATGATATTAACACTTAAAGTGAAATTTACATGTATATATACAAATGTGCATCAGTATCATCAACTGTTTTATTTTAACAATATTTATAATATTATTGTCAATGTGTTTATTGTGTTCCAGTTATCGCTGGTAAACTGTAAATATTTCTTTTTGTTCTTTTATTATGTTCCAGTTCAGATGATAAACTGTAAATTCCATGCTAACACATATAATATGTGTATAATCAATTTGAGGGAAAGCTCAATTATACTGAAACTTGGCAAAAGGAAATATGTCCTTCAGGTTACTTCCATTGCAAATGTAAGACTTTAGGCTGGACTGAGGACATCAACCTAGATAGCTCAATGGTTAGAGCACTAGTAATGCAGGGGTCCCTGTATGTTTTCATTATATATGTATTCATGAATTTTTCAATGTATATTTACTCATCCCTCCTTTCCATACTACACATATGCCTGCCTTTTAATTATATTTGACAATATTTAAAAATATATTTTGATGTACATAGCATAAGTATATTGCAATTTAAAGCTGCTCAGATTTGTGATTTCTTGTGGCATTAATCAGATGTCCAATTTGATGCTTATGTGAGACTTGATGTAAATGTAAAAAGTGGAAAGTTTGGATGCACTGCCATTGTATGCTTATTTTATATTGTCTTATTAATAAAGCTAGGGCAATCTATTATTTACATGTATAACATTTTCAAGAAATTGTAGCTAATGTGCTTTCATTTCTAAAGGCATGTTATTCATTAAAGCGAGCTAAGGAGATTTCCCCTGAAGTTTCAGGTTTCAAAGAACACAAAGTCCATGTCTATACTACAGAATTCTTTCAGTTTATGGTGGTCCATTTTTATGGACTGCCAATAGTTGACAGGCATGTTGGATCATCATTTCATTGGTGAAGGTGTTAATGACATCTCATGTACTGATAATTTGAGGGCGAGGGATACCATCACAAAAATTGGACCCTATAAAAATTATTCCATTGGGCCATCTTTCAAAAAATGTTTGGTTGCTCTCTTTTGACCGACTGGCTAAACACAGCCTGACTCGAAACTTTTTTTGACCTCAAGAGAAATTTTTTTTTTATTCATGCTGGAAAAGTAAATTTTTAAATTCGACATCATTGTTGATATTTTCTAGGGAAAAAGATGTTATCACTGACCTAGCGACATCCTAGGTCAAGAGAGTGCAAACAAACATTATTTTAATGTTGGCCTTATCAGTCACTTTAGATGCCAAGCAAAGTTCATGTCACGTATTGAAATTTCTGCAAAAGAAATATTTTTGCATAATTTTTCTAAAGTGTCTTTGAAGAAGAGAGTCCATATACACGTATATATACGTAATACATTACATATAATCAAATCTTCAGAGAATTATATTTAAAACTTCGAAAATAACATCACAGACATAGGACAGAACACATTTCCATGGGTTCAACTTGAATGAGGAATTATACCTGATGCACATCAGGCAGAGAATTTATAAATATCTAGACTGTACTTTCATGCCTAGCAAACCCAACCTTTGCCAGTGTTTTAGTTTAATGTTCTGGTGAGTAAAAATATCCTGGTTACTTGAAAGAATAAATTAAAAAACAGCTTCAGCAATTTTAATACATGTACAAAGTTATAACCATGAATATTTATAAGTATCGCACAAAGTTAACATTCATATCTATTGTAACAGCATACAACTATTTCCAGTTAATGGTTAAGAAATCTTACCAACAGAGAATTTATGGACCATTACTTTAACTAGCATCATAAAACAATGCCCAACTACTGCTTAATAATAAAAAAATCTTCATTTAATATAAAATCGCTTTAAAAATGAAATCAAACATACAAGTCATTAAAATTGGTAGCTTGATTTTAAAATTCCCCAAATAAAATTGTCTAGTTTCAAAAAATTTTCAATTCAACATAATTTAGTATTTAACTACCTGTACACTAAATCAGCATTTTACAGAAAATGTATGATACAGACAGTTTGTACAATATGCATAAATTAAATTGTGTCTTGAAAACACTATGATACACAAGAGACACACTTAAATACTGATAAAAAAAATCATCAGGAATTCTGATCAGATGTGGGTCAACAAAATTTGTTCAGACACGCAAAGTAAACAAGTTTGTACATGATCCTTCGGGTGAAACACACCATATTGCAATTTATTTGTCCGTGATACTACCACCTTTGTTAGTACTGGTTTAGTATAGGATAACAATTACATTTAGAAAAGTAAATCAGATATTCAGATATTATGGAACTAAAATAAGATAAAAATTTATAGCAAAATCTGATCGACAATACATGAAAAATGTGAATCCTTGTCCATTTATTGATATATATATATTCTGTTTTCTTTATATAGATTCTGCGATTCACAATTAAATGAAACCCCTATTCCCTTTTACATTGCACCTATGTCCATAACAAGGCCAACTAACTTACGAGAATATATTTCTCCCTCACCTATCTGGACATGTTACATAGACTCTACATTAAAGTACTGATAAATTATGCACCATTCTATGCATGCTGATAAACTAATCACCTACTTAACTTCACCTGTGTGGTTATATACCTTGGGTAAAATTATGTTGATTTACATCACAATGTAAGTCTATATTTTAATGAAGACTAGAAAATAGATTCTGATAATGATAATAATTACACAGTGAAATAAGAATCCTTAGGACAAACAGGTAATACAAAAGCATCAGATTCTAATATTAGTCTTTTATGAATTAAAAGGATTTCTATATTTATTCTTCTTATTCTAAAGACTCCATGTCATCATCTGCCATTACAAAATTATCAAGAAACAACAAAACAAAAATGATCTCTTTTTCCATGTAAATTAAAAAATATCAGAGACACGATACTGCCAATTTTAAAAATGTCTAAAACAATCATATTTAAAGCTTAATTGCATCTCATCTAACAATTTTTAGATGAAGCAGCTTACATAATTCTAAAATAAATTGTATGGAAAATTCCCAAATGTAAAACTACCATATTCTCGAGAAGATAAACCATAAAAGGTAGATATACATGTAAATACATAAAAATATTCACAGGCACTTTAAATTCTTAAAATGAGGTATAGCAAGATAAACAAATTGGTTTTGCTTTCTAAAACTACACCAATATTATGTGCTAATTTTGTTTCTTGCATCACTAAAATGTAAAAATCCTTTTTTGTAGTATGTATATAATTAAATTATCCTATGATGAAATCAGAATTCTTGACATAAAATCTTAAATAAAACCACAATATACAAAGAATGAAAAAAAAAATCCTACAAAGCAATAAAATGCCTGCTTTGTACTACAAAACAATACACATCTAAACCCACAGGAAAGATCCACCTAAGCTTACAGGGTTATAGGAATTTGTCCTTATTCCGGGGATATTCCATTAATGAACTTGGTTCCATAAGGTTGGAATCAGAATATCAACATATGTAATTAGGTCAAATATGGGAAGAAATAAATAAAAACATCATTTACTGTTAAGAAAATGATGTTAAGGCAAAAACTTGTTTGCTGTAAAGATCCAGTCCTTTCAGACACATGCTCCACAAAACAGTTTACATTTCACAGGAATAGGGTGCCTGCCTGTGTAGGGAGTTCTTGAGGAGTGCAAGGTGGAATGTCCTGTGATGGCTTATCTACCCCCATCAGGTAAGTTGACTAGTCCCGGCCCCACTTTTCCCTTTGATGCATCTGGACCTGATGGGGGGTGGTAAGGGTGGCTTGATCAATCTTTGGCATCTTGTGTACCTTGTGTCTGAGCAACAATAAGGTTATTAATTTATTCCTAATTTTCACCCATCACTGCAAAAAAAAAAATATATATATATATAATCAAGAACATAAAATTTCTAGATTGTATGCATTACTGCATAGTATTCACTGATATGAAATCATTATTATGTATTGGGCTCAGTCTAATATAGCCTTCGCACTAAACATAGAGAAATGGATTCATTTTACGATTGCTGATTATTTTTTTCCAAATGAAAACTGACGTTCAAGGTCAGGACAAAGCTTTGTTTTGAAATTACTGGCTCCAGGGACATAAAACTGAATCCCTTTTGTAAAAGTGAGATGAGATCAAAAGTGTGCTTGTCTTAGTTTTATGGCCCTGGCTCTGGGGCCATAAAACTTTGACGAGCTTACTTTTGACCCTAATCTCACTTTTAATTAAGGAAAATACTAGTGAAAAAGTGAGACTGAGATTAAGAGTGAGCTTATTTCCGTTTTATGGCCCTGGAGCCTATTTATAGAACATGATATTACTTTGTACACAACATTAATACAACCAAAACAATCAGTCAGAACAACAATGTAAAAATGCAGACCTTTAATTACTTTATACCAGGAAAGTTAATTGACCAAGAAATGCAGTAAATACTTGAATGCAAAGTTCCCTTGTTCAAAGGGATAACAGTACCAAGTATTGACTGTAATTCATCAAATGTACAATGTCAAGCTCCAAATCCTTACCCCCTTACTTTTCTGATAGGACAAGCATTAGAAATACCAGTCAAAAGATATACAATGTACCTGTTTACAGGACAGGTACACATATATTTCCCCAAGATTCAGAAATAATGAACAGTAACAATGTTACATCTACTGCTGATTAACTTGCCCTGAACACTCACCTAGCCTGTAGCCTGATTTGATTCATCTTCTAAATTGAGTTCTATGATGTTTTCTTTAGTAACTTCCACCTATAAGTGTACCACAACCCACACATCAAACTTGATGTTAATCCTTTATACAATACAGTATAATGCATGTAAATGTTGTTAATCAACCACAAAAGTATTACTGTATAACTCATTCTATGTATACAAAAATATAAACATTACAACTGTATTATCAATACATGTACATCAGAAAGGTTGAGGTACATCACCAGTAAATGTCACCCACAACAAGCATGCCAATTGTCAAGTTAACCCAGAAACTATTTTCATGCAAAGTACGGACAGAAGCTCCGTTCACATACAGTGTACATACCAACACCACTACCACAACACAACAACAGAAACTGAAGTCCTAAGCAAAACATGGAAATTTAAGTAAAAAAGAGTCCACGGAATCATTTACTAGTGCACCAAAGTAAATCTGGGAAGCTCATGCCATGGCACTAAGTATCAAAATGGCCAACACTGTACAACAGCAAAAACTAAGAGCTCAGTCATGATAAACCACAAAAAAAAAAAAATAAAATTCAGGAAGGGCAGACATGACACCTAAAAATACCTCGTGTTCTACAGTTTTTTCAATGACTTGAATTGTTCTCAAAGATATTTTTCCTGTATTTTCATCCACAAACTCGACCGTTTTTAGCTGACATTTCTCATCGAGTACTCGTGACTTTTCCTGGACCCTAGTTTCCCCCTCTTTAGTTTGGACAGTTAGCTTTTTGTTCTGATAGGGACTTCGTGGACACTGGTCATTGTGCCAGAGACAAAAACATGGACATGGTTAGATAACATTCACAAATAAAAAGGTCAGCCAGGGCATCCAATGATTTAATTCTTGGTTAAATTCATAATTCCACTGTTAGTAAATTAATAATATATACAAAACTGATTGATGTGGTCTTAATGTTTACCTCTTGTTCTCCATTTGCACTGTGTTTTGCTGAATTGTCCTCATCTACAATGTAGTACAATAAGTTAAAGAAGAAGTAAGAAATTTAATCTTTGTTACTAGTTCATAATATTCCATTAAAGTGAATTTGGGCTCTAGCTTATACCTCATTAACAATATTTATCTGGACATTTTTCCATAGTCTGTAATAATTTTCTGATCAACTAAAATATGCTTAAAAATGGCTTGGTTTCAACTGGAGCCAATTCTTTAGTTTATACATTCACAGTGATGTACTTGTAATTGAACTGTGAGCAGTCTGGACTTGATTGAACTGTGGGAAGACTGAATCTTACCTGTGGTTCCAGCATCTGGCACAGTGGGCAGTTTAGACTTTTCCTGCATTTCTTTAGCCAACCCTATCACAGCCTGTGCCTTCATGGCATCAACCTCTAGTGACTTCATTCTACAAATTTTGCATCAAGAAATTTTTAAAGAAAGGAACAGTTTATAATAAATGAACCTTTTTGGGTTTCCCGAGTCTTTAAATGAAAGGGGGTAAAATACTAGAAAATAAAATTTCACAATTGTCTATATACCCACAACACAAGTAAATAGATTTGATACAAGTTCATTTAGCAACTACACAGCATTACTATATAACTGAAGTGTAGATAAATAAATATTGATTTTTCTACCTCTAATACCCCAGGACTAGGTGTAAAAAATGTTAATTCAAACAAGACATGTTAATCAGGTACAGAGAAAGCTCAAAAAATCCAAAACCAAATCATGAGGTGCCAAACCTCGACTAATCATGCACTCCACTGTTAAATAAATAATACTTCTTCCATCCAGCCTACTATCTTTAAAGGTAAGTTGATCATTCTAAATCATTAATATCAAACCATTAGTTGATGCATGATGATCAAAATAATAAGAATTAGATGGATGAAAATGTTATGTTAAATTGACTTTAAAATCCCAAGATTTTCTTTATTGATCGGTAAAATTTTTTGGAAATTATTAAATATATATATATTGATACAAAACAGAATGAATGAAGGATGAATTTCATGCCAAAAAGATTATATGTTTTCCAGTTTCATGATATGAAAACTTTTCTGGCTTCAGTCAATTTAACAGTGTCAAGCTCCTGAGTGATGATGATCGTGGTTGACAGACCTCGCTTGTCGCCACGCGGCCCTTTTATCGGCCTCCAATTCTCTTTGCTCCGCGGGGCTTAGTGGTTTTTCCAGTAGCCCTTCCTTTATCAGTCTTTCCTGGAGCCGTTTTTCGGCTTTGGCGGTTCGTACGACATAAGAACTTGAAGAGCTGCTATATCAAGATACAGAGAGACATACAAATAAAAGCCCCCGCAAAACACAGCACAGAAAAATAAACATTCAGCTTCACTTAAACTCACAGCAATCGTGCTCAGTGTGAAAAAACATTGGAGAGACTGAGAGAATAAATGAAGGAATATGATTAATTTGTACAGGTATTACATGGAAAGCTCTATCATATTACATGCTACTAGTATGAACATTAATCTGGTCTATAAAATAGTTATACAAACACATGCCAAATTTATAAAATCTGAAATTTCATGAAAATTCAACAAATGGGATAAAGGTTGTTTTTTTCTTTCTTTTTAGCAAAGCATTTTAGATTGAACGATGCTTGCATGCAAGTGCAGGTTGACATAACATTATTCTTTGTACCAAATCCCTTAGACATAATTCATGATTAAATCTTCTTTTTTTCCCCTAGCTTCACCTCCCAAACTCTATATGGTGATCAAGTGTGTGGGTTTCCTTTTTTAAAATAATTATTCCTACCTTTTCCCTTTCCATTTTAAGTTTCTAAAATTCATAATATATGTTCAATATAAACCATCCCAATTTACATTAGACTTTCCTTAAAAACAAAACCATTTGTCAAATTTAATTAAATGCTCCTACAGTAGACTATCAGAATGATAAATTCTATCTATTAAAGAAATAAAATTGTGTGGCCTACACAAGTAAATAAAATAGCTAAACTGATAATCAGTAATAGACAAGATAATGTAAACCACTACTACGTCTAAAATAATTACCTTTGTTGATCTGATGAATCCACTGAAATGAAAAGTTCAAATGAATTATACATATGACATAAACTAGCAAAATCTTAATTTACCTACATACACATTTGACTATCAAAAAATGATGTTTAATGTTCTTAAGTTCACTGATATTGATAAAAATAAAATTGTGTGGCCTACACATAATGACACAGGCACAGTGCACTTTAAATACATAGTATAGATAAAAAAATTGCAAAAAAATCTTCACATCAAAATGTCTTACATAGACATTTAAATGTGATAATCATAAATAATGGAATAGCATTATACAAATGAATGTAAAATAGGCAAAACTACTATGTACAACAGTTTAAGAGGAGTGTGCTGACAAACTGTTCATCTCTATCTTCAAAATAAGTGTACCCGGAAAAATTGAATTTTGTAATATGCACATCTACACATTGTGTCCTAAATACCTGCAAAGTTTGACGAAATTCTGTGCAGCGGTTTATGAGGAGTTGCTGACAAACTGTTCATCTATATTCAAGGTATGGCCACTGAAAAATTAAAAAAGTAATATGCAAATCTATACATTGTGTCCTAAATACCTCAAAGTTTGACGAAATTCTGTGCAGCGGTTTATGAGGAGTTGCGCTGACAAACTGTTCATCTCTATATTCAAGGAATCCCGGAAAAAATAATGGAATATAATATGCACATCTACACATTGTGACATAATACCTGCAAAAGATTTGGATGTTTTGTACATATATTAGCAAAACTAATTTACCATATACGGAATCGGAATTTCCTGGTAATATGCACATTACATACACATTTGACTATCAAAAAATAGCTGTTTATATGTTGCTTAAGTTCACATTTTGATATTGATCATACATCTGTACCATAGTAAAAAGTGCCCACAATATTAAATAATTCAAACAATTAGAAGCTGATAAATTACATTAATCCTTACCAGAATGTTCTTGTATCTCCTTTTCAAAGAAATGCTTCTTGTCGTTGAAAGACAGTTTTTCATTCTTTGGTATGGCATTGGTTAAATGTGATGTCTAAAAGGAAAACAGAGGTCCATGAGCCACAATGCTCAGCTGAATTAGCTAATGAATGTGTGGATAAGTTTCACTTCTCATAAAAGTCATCAATTTTGAGTTTCAATCATTTTAATTTCCAGTATCAACTTAATTTATAATGTTTACACAATCCAAAGGCAGTTTGTTTACATACTCAAACCTTTTGTTTTTCACTGGTTTATCTATTTTTTATGTTGACTCTTTCCCCCTACTAAGCTTTAATTTAACATGAGTGCCATCGTGTTTTTTTTTTTACTTGTTTCTGTCTTAAAGCTGCAGGTTTAAACTTTTAAATTTCTTGAAGTTTGAACAAACTTAAATTCATAATATATATAGGAAAGCTAGGTATTTCTCATGTTTGATTGGTCTAGTATTTCTGCAGGGGAAATCAAAACCATAAGAGACCTCAAACTTTGGTAAAGGAAAATTAAGGATGGAAAAACTTTGATCAGTAAAGTTCACTTGACCCTTTAAGTCTGGTGCATTAAAATTCAACATTCAGTAAACAAATGCTAAAATATCAAACCAAATGTGTTTGTGACAGTATACAGTGGACCTTCAGATATCCGGACGCCAGATATCCGGATGCTTCAGTATCCGGACGATTTTTCATCGGCACGGAATTTTTTAATGTCATTTTGTCTTGATTAACTGGTGATTCAGGTATCCGGATGCTTCATATATCCGGACAAATTGACTGGGAACCACAGCGTCCGGATAAATGAGGCTCCACTGTATCTCTCTTTACAGCTGATAACTACAGTTGAACTTTGGTATTTTGAACACCGATATCTCGAAAACAATACATATTTTGAAGTCCCAACCACTTATTCTTTTATTATTTTACCCTCAATACCTCGAATCCTCGGATATCTGGGAAGTTTTTTCTAGGTCCCATCGAGTTCGAGATAATGAAAATTGACTGTATATTCAGTCAATAATGTGTGAAAGTGTGACCTCATTCTACATGTATATGCATCTATTCTTTTAGTTTAGAAATCAAAACCAGTCATCATTCATGCTTTAAGATTTAACAAAAGAGAAAATCATAATGATACTGAAAAATACAAAACAAAATCATGCAGAAAAGAAAGTTTTTTGAGTTAAGCATATGCCAATAAAGAAATGTAGCACAAACACAAGTCCAAAATAAAATAAAACAAATCGGTTTTGGGGCTGAAAACACATGAGTAATGGCTTCCTGCTTGGACAGAAGACCACCATTTAACACAGAAAAACAACAATGATCTCCTTCCAGCATGACATTTAATTACCTTGGGAGGAACAGCAGGTTTGGCCAGGGGAATTCTAGACTGCTTTGGGGAGGCAACCTTTTTACCACCGGAAGGCATTCTTGATTGCTTGATTGGGTCCACAGGACTGAGAGGGCTCACCACCTCGGGTTTGGCTGGCAGTGGGGGTTTGGGGGGAGGACCTAGGTCCTCTAAACTCTCCGGCCGAGCTATGTACGAAGGTTTGGGTGGTACAGGTGGCCGTTTTGGTGGAATGGCTGGTTTAGCAGGCGGCTGATGTGAAAAAAGTCACAAGACATGATGCATGCAGGAAGATTTATAAGTCATGCACATACAATAATTTAGATTAGTATCATTCTATCAGGTATTTGTATATGAGACATACATTTTCATTCAAAACAAGAACTGTCATGCTTTTATAATTCATCAAGTAGTAAGGAAATGTTTCTTTATCTAAATGTGTTTTAATAAGAGTAATTGACAGTGATGGTGTAAAAACATTCTTTTAAAACTGTATAATATATCTAAGTGTAAAAAATTCTGTCTATATAATTTTGCAACATGCTGTCTCATTCTGTTCCAGAAAAGTGCCCACTTTTGATCCTTTTTTAAATAAACAAAAACCCTTCAACTTCTTACTTACAGAAAATGCATATGAATAGAAATGAATTCTGCCTAACTTACCAAAGGTGCAATTGTCACTGTTGTTTCTGGAGGCACTTGATTTTCTACCGAATTCTGCAAAAAAAATGTACAATCTATTAGTATAATGAAATAACAGAAATGGTTGTTCTAAAGTTGTGAAGAAACAAAAATATGAGACCAACCAAGGAGTTTGCATATCCATTCAGAAACAAATGAAAAACCCTTGGACATGCGGTATTCATGGTATACATACAGATATTTTGTACATATATTTTTAATATTAAGTTGAATCATATCATCACAATTAATATATTACACATATTAAATATAATCTCAATGATGATAAAAAATATTCTGTTAATTACTTACTAAGTTTATTTTTAAAACAATCAAACGAGGGACATATAGTTTACATTTTCGACGTTGAAAATTGCTCCAGATGATTATCTGAATTGTTTTGAAGTAATGTAAAAAACTTTGAATTTAATCAACCAACAACGCTTTCTATTCTTTATTCATATCCAAGTGCATGCTTCATCAAACACAAACATCAGCAGTAGAACTAATCTTATCTCCTAGCGAAATATAATGTATCAATTTCTTTAATACATATCACAAACCTGATTGACTGTGTTCTCAATGATATCATTTTCAATGGTCTCAGGAATTTTCTCATGCTGTTGCTGCCTCTGTAAAGAGAATGGGATAATTATTACTTCTGTAGGTCAGAATCAAGTCTGAATATCCGACTGATCTTATGAAATCATTATTGACAAGACTTTACCTTCTTGTAATAGTTCACACAGACATACATATGTGTAAATTTCTGATTGTTTTGTAACAGATTTTTTTTTCCCTTTTTATTAAACAAATTTTATAATGTGAAACACAGCAAAAAATGTGATCTTTCCTATTATACAGTGCTTCTAAAAGATAAGTAACAAACTTTAAAGTCTCTGACCATTTATCCCTTTTCAATGAAGAAATTTTTATATAGAATTAATTTAGTAATACTCTGTGCATGTGTTAGGAACTAAGGTTGTAGTTGAATAATACAGGATTTATCAATTCTCATTTCTCCTACTATTCTTTTTACCGGATGGCACCTTACAAGATCAAGCATATTTCAGATAACAATCAAGACAATGTGTGCATGTTATACTTATCCACTGATACCAGTACAAATGTACCTTTAACATTTGTTTTTTAACAAGTATTTACATAAAATAAGAAACAAATGGCAGTATATTATTCTTTTTTCTTAAAATCAGTTCAGCGCTTCATTGCTAAATTAAGCTACATGTATATCAGTAATCTTGACTACATGAGTCACACAATGGTTGTTTTCATTCATCTGAAAGGTTTTTTTTAATAATCTTTTTTCCTTTGTAAAACAATGATTTTCATAGTTTGTAGAGAGATACAATGATGATCTTGACTTTAAAAAATTACATATATTGTAGGTCAGTACTATAAGAAATTAAACACCCCTTACGATTGTTAACTGACAAAAAGGTATGAGCACAACAATGGCAACATGGGGTTAAAACACATAAGCCATGTCAATCATCATGAAACTGGGCGTGTACAAACCCTTAGCTCCGCCTCTTCCTCCTCCCACTGCTTGGCTTCTTTATTGGCTTCCTGTTCCTAGTAACACATAACAACAAACACATGCAGGTCAACAAAAACATGTATCTACCATCTACCAGGACTTGTAGTGCTGTTTGAAATTATAAAATTACGTCTACATAGATATTGTGAAACAAACTGGAAATAAGAATACACAGTCACCACAAGTCGCTGATGAGATCATCTACATAGGTTTGTGCTCAAGAGTGCAGCAATTAACAACATTAATTTAATTTTAGTTTTTCTAGAAAATCTACAATTAAACAACATCAGTATTTATAGGAAATAAGGATTAAATGCACAATGTATTTTCATTAATAGAGAAGAAAATCAGTACACATAAAGGATACAACAGGATAAATGGAAATAAAAGAGTTTGACAACAGCAAAACTTAAATCCACAAACTGGAGAAGCTCTGACCCACCTTCTTAATAATATCGAGATCATCGCCATCTCTGTCAATACTGGAGATGGAATCGCCCCGCCCCCTGGGAGGCATGGGGGCATTAGGGGAGTCAGGAGACTGCAGGTCAAGGGCGGGGTCAAAGCCATCAGAGACCATGATGACCATCTGATCACTAACACTTCTGAGGGCTCGGACCGCCTCCTGATGTGTGGCTCCAATAAGACTGGTACCATTCACCTATAAAGTACAGGTCATTTAACAATACAATGGTCCTATGTCCGGCAATAATGATCTAACAGTCCATTCATTTCATATTCTCATCATTTTTTACTTTTGATTTTGAAATACACTTTCTCATTACCGTACAAAGTAAAATGAGATTCATACCTCCAAGATTCTTTGTCCAACCTGAAGTCTGCCATCCCTTGCCACTGCACCATCACTGTTGATCTGCAATACAAACTTATAATTAACAACACTGTTGATTATACTACACAGTTCCAATAATTAGACATAACCAATAATTTTTCTTCCTACAAGTGTGTATCAGTGATTGATATGCAAGCATTAATTGAGAATCTTAGAGCAGTGCATGACAAAAATATAAATTTACATTTTTTCAATGCAAAAAAATGCAGTATGTATTAAATACATTGTAAATTAATTCTGGCATTGTCGTCTGTTTGTCAAACAGCCATGTACAAGCCATATGCTAAAGCCCTAGATTAGATTTGGATAAAACATTTATATTAAGTTGTTGCATATGATGTCCATGTCTTAAGGTTACATCATGATGTTAACTCAAGGCAAAAATTGCCAGGCAACAAAAAAAGTTAGAGTCAGGGATATAATTACTATCCCTTGAATGGATTCAAACTTCAGGACATTTGTATATTGCTGCTGAAAACTGAAAAGATTCTCATTTTCTTTGACTGAAGATCATATTTCAAAACTGGTCTCTGCATGTGCATAAAAAGTTGGAAAAATCACATCTGCATCTGAGGAGCCCTTTGTTTAGTTTGATTGTTTGCTGATCATGACTCAATATCTTATTTTTTTTAAAAATCAGTATCTCTACACAGTAGTTTTACTTGATTTATACAGTTAGACGATAGCCCACCGTGCGCACACCAGGTAAACCAGTATGATTTCCATTTACTAACCCGAGAGATGAAGATGCCCTCATCTGTCCTGTCTTTGGGATTAGCAGCATAACTCTTCACTCCACCTTTAATACTCATTCCTAATTTCTCTCCTGGGCCTTTCTCAACAATTAGTTCCTGTAAAAATAAGAAAAGTTTGTAAATCTACTGTAAATGTTAATTCTTAGGAGAAAACATCCTAAAACACAGAGTTTAATCTTTATACATTTAAAAATGCACAGTTTCCAAAGAATTACTCTCTGAATTGGAGGTTTAAAACAAAAGCAATATAAATATCTATTGATGAAATGTTCTCTAACCTTTAGGCCTGACGGTGGTGGATCATGCCGAACTTTGAGGTTAATTTCATAGGTCGGTGAAATCAACATCATCACAGCCTCCTGATGCGTGGCATTTGTTACGTCCCGATTATTGACAGACAAAATACGATCTCCGATTTTGAGATTTGTTTTGGATGCTGCTCCATCGGGAACGATTTTGGACACAAATACACCAGGTTCTTCCATTCCAAATGGATGACTTGAGTGATCACTACCACCCACAATACTGAGTCCTAAGGGACCACCTGCCTTCACAATAGTCACCTCCTCCATGGGATATTTAGAATCTACACTACTGACTTCATTATTACCTATATGATTTACAACAGAACTAGAATTGGGGGCAGATGTGTCCTTTGAAGAAGAATCCATCACAGATTTGCTGTCATGAGTGGTCTCTGTGTCACTTTTTATACTATTACGTTTTGTTATAAGGGAAGTAGGGAGTTTCATTTGTGAATACGGGGACGTTTCCTTCTTAATTTCTGTGGAAGTTTTTAGTGCACTTGTTGAGGATACACTAGGTGTAGAGGTCCTATTAAATCCTGGATACACAAATGTAGGGGGTCGCACAGAAGTTGTAGGGGGTGTGTTCCAATCTGAGGATATTCTCGGACTCGTCTGTGGGGAGGTGGGGTTTGGAGAAGAGAAAGATGAACCTAGGGATGACGGTGTGGGATATGTATAGGATGAGGGGATAGAAGCCGAGAATGGACTCGGACTGACAGAGGGACTCTTCTCCACCGCGTTACTGATGGGTGGGGTCTCTATAGGAGCTGGCTTGGCGGTGGGGAGTTTCTCATTCCAGGTGATCAGGGGCTGAGTCAGACTGTCCAGTTTCTGTCCAGTAGGGGGCTCGGTCTGGGCCTCCTCCGGGGAAACCACTTTCTCACGATAAACAACGAGTTTGATCTCCTTATCGATTCCTGTCAGTAGAGCTACAGCCTGGTCATGCCTGGCATCCTGTAAGTCTACATCATTGATCTGAAATACAGAGGATAGGAACAGGTAATTTATTGTAACAAAAGACCATGGAGTTTGTCAAAAGTAGGTAGAACCAAAGTGACTTAAATTTCAGTGCATTATTCTATACATGTTTAAACAATGTTTAACGAAATGCTGAAGAATTTTCCAGCATTACTAAAAGCCTTGTTTCACTGAGTAGTGAATAACTTACAGATATAATTCGATCTCCTACTTTCAGATTACCATCCATCTGAGCTGCCCCTCCATCCACAATACGGGAGATGTAAATAGCCTGTTAGAAACATAGCACCTTATAAAATACTAAGGAAAAGATTTTTTTGCTTTCTATCACTTCATAAATTTGAATGAACACTAAAGATGACAAAAACAAATCTTACCAACAAAACACACACAAAATCTGAATTGTACAAAACAAATCTACACCAAGGATAGCGATGAAATCAAGAAATATTTTAAAGGTCAGAATCTGCCCATCTCTTAATAAATAAATTCATTAAAAATCAACTCCAATTCTTTAAATATCCCTTCAATAGGCAATCATGCAGTATTTTCAAATTCAGTGATAAATCTTACATGCTGTTCATTTGGGAACCAAAGGTGAATATAATATCAATATCATTAATGCAATAATGTCGAAACTATTCTGTTAACTGGGTATTCAATGTCAAAATGCACTTTAGACTATCTGAAATCTTTAATTCATGGGGCAGTCTGCATTCAGGTGGTAATTTACTCTACACAATGTGCATGTGACTTAAAAATATTTGCTAAATCTATTTTGGTATTTGAATGCAATGCATCAATGAAAAAAAAAAATCAAAATTAAAGGAAGTTAAGGTTTATCAAGTCAGTCAAGATCTAAGAACCTGTTTTAAAACTGATCCTTATTCCAATGACAAGGTTATTCAATGAGAAAAAGAAGACTGGCTTTTTTTAATGTACATGTATTTCTTACAATTTCATTGGTTGCATTTTATGGACATTTCAATTCGCTCAATAAGCACTCAAGTTTTGAGTTGGTGCAACACATGTAGTACATATCATAATACACATAGTTTCATTTTGACTCATTGAGTATGATACACATGTATATATCAAAAGAGAATGAAGCAACTGCCAGAAGATATTAACAAATTACAGCCAAAATTATATCTTAAATGCCAAACAAACACCTACTAGGCACTTTATATTGAAGCTAATATGAATATCAACAATTTTAATCAGTTTTCTTTTCTCATAACTGTGAAGTAATTTAGAATTTGATAACTGAATCTTCCAATGAGTAACATTTCAACTGGAACTTCTAACTTATTTAGAGAACTTATATTTATCATTTGATAAAAAGGAATGAAAAGATACCCTATATGTACAAGAAATAATTAAAGAATACCAAGAAATATTTTTACTAAAAAAGATTACACAAGACTTTACCATAACTACATTAAGAGTTGGATAATTAGACATTTGACGGACACCATTAAATAGTGAGAGAAAAACTAACACTGACTACTGACAATTTAAAGTATTTAGTTTAAGCTGTTGTAAGACAATAAAATCAAAAACCTAAGATGTTTTTAGTCTTTAAAACTAATAAATTATTTGTCACTGGAACTGAAATACATTCATGCTTACAAAAAATCTATATAAATTTGAAATCTTTGTTGATTTCTTTTTTTATATCCCGAACTGTCAATGTTTTGTTTTTTTTTTTTTAACAAGGAATAAAGCTAATTTAGTTAGGTAAAAACTCAAGATATGTTCTAAACTTAAAGGTCATGGTCAGAACTCAAAAACTCATGCCGGCTGAGGGTGAACAAAAACTGACTTGGATATCACGCCTAAAACATGCCAGACAATACCAACCTCTAAGAACTCATAGATATGCTGCAAAATTATTCAAATCAGCAAATTATGATGATGTGTATACCAAATGACAACCAGTTAAATCAATTAAACCATGGTAACAAAAGCTATAAGAAGCATGCTAAGTAGATACAAATTTTCATCAATTTTTTCTTCATTCATTATATTAACTTCATAAGAGGCAAATGCCCAAAACTATTTTGTTTCCAAATGTTTTAACCATTATATATGTATCTAAATCTGACAACAAAAATATACTTTATATATACAAAAATTCAAACTCAAAGCAAACACAAAATAAAAAGTAAGTAAGGAGAAAAAAACACAACTTAATATACAAGTACCACATTGACAAAACAAAATTTTTATTTGCTTCAAATGTTTGGGGAAAAAAATACTTTAATGCAGAACATAAATTATTAATGAATGACCAACTGAAGAGAAATTGACTGATGAAATGAAGAATGAATAACCAAATGCATACGAATGTTTGGATATTATCTATTCACCTGATTGTTTCCTTTGAATGGCACAGATCCCCTCCCTCCAGCAATACTGAAACCCAGGCCTGCCTGGTCTCTCTTCAATGTGGTGCTGATCGTCTAAAACAATTATTATAGGGAAATAATCAAATCACTCATGATCGTCTAAAACAATTATTATAGGGAAATAATCAAATCACTCATGAGTATGTACTAAATTCAGATTTAATCATTCTTGAAAGCTCCTTCTCAGCTCTTATTTTGAAATTATGCTTATTTTTCTCAAGATGATCTTTAATTGACAAGCATAAAAATTGTGTGCATGGATGCTACTTTCACAATAAGAGTAGATCTAAATGTTAAATCCCTCAAATATCTCAGCTTGAGTTAAATTCCCTCAAATATCTCAGCTTGACTATATATTCAAAGAAAGGGTCTACAGGATATGACTTTCTCTTGCCAAACACAACAGACCAGATGAGACCTACCTCTCCATAAATTTCCATGCCTGGCTCGGAATCGAAAGTAACAGTAGCGAAACCAGTATTGCTGATCTCTTCCTTCTCAGGCTCTTCTTCTTCCTCCTACAGGGTTTAAAGCAGTTTTAGATTTAGTATATTTTTACAATAAATTAATCTTACATGAATAGAAATTTAACTTTTGACTTACTGTAAACCAACTTTTATTCGCGTGCGAGAAATTTTCGCGAGTTTCGCGAGAGCCTCGTCATCGCGAATATTTCTCGCCGCGAACGGGTCCTTAAAGTCTCTTTTTCTATTAAAACGACTTGATTGCGAAAATTCATCGTCGCGAACTAGTTTACACACGGTAAATCGCGAAATAAAGTCGTCGCGAATAAAAGTTGGTTTACAGTATATTTGAACTTCAATACCTCAAACTCTGGTATCTCAATTATATGTGCAATGGTTATGATGATGTGAGTTAGAAGTCCCAAGCACCTTTTCTTTACATATCTAAACCTCAATATCACAAAGACTTTTCTTGGTTTCATTTAAATAATATGAATATAAAGAGTAAAATGATAATTTGAATTGACTTTCTAACCTCTTCCTTGGGAATTTTCTCTCTCCCTAGCACCATGACAATGTTATTTCCTGCTGTCTTTAATACATCAACAGCATCATAATGATCAGCATTAACCAAACTCTCTCCATTAACCTACAAACAAAGGTACAGTTAAAAAAAAAATTAAAATCATAGTTTCCTTTCAATTTTGACAATTGGCTTTAGAGTACACAATACTTGTGAAGACTGAGATTAAGTTGATATATAAAATTTCCAAATCAAAACATTAAAATATTATTAAATAATGGAATACCGAAATAAGCTTATCCCCTACAACAACTCCTGCCTTTCCTGCTGGCCCATCTTCAGACACTCGTGATATAAACACACCCTGTAGATAATTGTCTAAACTATATACATTGTTCAAATATTTATGTATATCGTACTGCACAGGTATGTATACATCTACACACACGTCATACCATGCACATATGTACAATTATGCATATATCATTTTTTTTTTAAACAGAATACATTAACTGACTAATACATATGTAAAATTAGGATATTTTCTGTTTTTCAAAATAAAATTATTTCTTATATTATACTTCTTCTAATACACATTAGTTTGATCTTCTTCAGTAAGATCAGTACCTCGTCGTTTCCCTTGAAGGGGGTTGATCCTCTCCCTCCCGCTATACTGATACCCAGCCCCTGTCCGGGCTGACGAGATATGTGTACCGTTACCTCCTCTTCTTCGTAATCTGGTACCGACTCCATCGTCAGTTCTAGCTGACCTACACGTGTTCCCTCATATGACTCCTCCTCTGGCTGTCAATCAAATGTAAACAGACTGCAACATCATTCAAATTACATAAGCTAATTCTTTTCAATTTAAGAAGTAAAATACTCTGCTTGTTCAGCCTTAGGTATTTTCATACAATTTCACAAGAATAGCTACTGTAAAAGTTACATTTTGTTTTATCCATTTAATGTGGTTCCTAATTAAAGACTTTTTAAAAAAAAATTCTTACACACTTAAATTCACTGGTAGACACTACAATATCTATGATCATCAATCACTAAGATTTTAATGGTAGACTTCTCCATTACATGTATATATGGCCACCTACCACTTCTAACTCCTCCTCTTCTTCTTCCTCCTCTTCCTCGGAGGCAGCCTTTTCCTCCTCTTCCTCCTGAGCCTTCTTTGCTGCTAGGATCCTCATCACCTCTTCCTTTGCCTCCTCACTCTTATCCCTGTCAATTCGTTTGTCTCGTTTGTAGAATGGCGTGTCCCTCCTACGTAGTCTAGGAGTGTGTTTCTCGTCACTGTCACCAGTGTCAAACCCTACCTGCCTCCTCTGCCCTTCCTACAACACAATCAAGTAGTTTTTATTTATTTCTAGTTGAAAATCTTATGGAAACACATAAGCTTTCAAGATGAACTCTGACCTAAATTCCTTTAAATATGTGACCTACTTTCTCTTAAATTCAAGTGTTGTGAGATTAAAACTTCTCCTGCTTAATGTTGAAATGCTACACAGGACAGTATTTACCTCATCAGAGTCGGGCATCTCTGAACGGACAACGATCTCCTCTGTTGGAGAAGTCTCTACATCAGAGGCATCAGACTCCTCATGCCCATTGACCCGCGGTGAGGTCGGGGTGTAGGTGACTATAGTGGGGTCAATAGACACCTCCTTAAACAAGGGTTGGGTCTCTGACGGAGACTCTTCCTCTGAGCTCACCTCCTGGTGTTGATTTTCCTGTCGTGGGGGACCCTCAAGTTCTGGAGCTAGAAACGATTCATCATTGTTAATCTCACATTCAGTTTTCTACCTTTGCCCGATTACAGACAAATTGTAATAAAAATACTGAAAAACTTCTAGTTCATTATTACTTGGCAATATCCTCACATTATCTGATACACAATTAACATGTTCTAAGGACAAATTAAAATTCAGTTGTTTAAATAACGATGATTTATAGTACTGAGGTACTTACTTCTAATTGTAGCAGGTTCATCAATAAGAGTGACCGTCTTTTTCTCGGGTATGATGACCCTAGGGGGAGCAGCTTGAGGCAGTGGTTCCTTTTCAGGGGGAGGAGGTATCTCAATTTCCATGATACCACGATACTCAGGGTCTCTTCGAGGGACAAACCCTTCATCTTCCTGTATGCCAAAAACAATGCTTTAGAACATGTGCATTTACTGATAAAACCACTGACATTGAACATTGACAGTGAACAAATGCAACAGGTTTCTCAAGACATAACAGAAAAAAAAAATCAAGCAAATGTTACCAAGTAAATTTCTAGCCAGAATGGTTTATCTAGAGATAGTTTAATGTATTACATTAACAATCACTGGTGATAAATGTACTAAGATGCTAATCAAAAACAAATATAACGACTAGCAGTGCAAAACAAAATTGCTGACACTTTTAATTATTATTATAAAATATCTATTAGTTATTACATACTGGAAAACTATCTACAGATTTTGTTTAACTTAATGATAATTTTAACAAACTGTAAAGTACCGGTTTCTTTTCTTGGTGAGGAATGATGTGGCCATCGATGCTGGATCTACCCTTTGGTAACTTAGGATGCCTTCTTTTGAGGTCGGCAGGATGAGGAGTGTTATGTCGCAAAAATTTCTGAGAATGAAAAAAGTCAGAGAGGCTATGTTTAAAGAGATGAAAACATTCCAAGGCAACTTAAAGACACATGCAATAAAGACTGTATATGTTTGACAGAGCATTCCTGATGATAATGAAAAGATGATTTAAGATACAACATTACCAGTTTCTTTGTTAGGAATTGTTATGAAGCACAGAAAATAATAAAGAAATCTGATAAAATTTCATTTCAAAATGTATATGTACAAGACTGGTGTATATACATGTAATTATAACACTTAAGTATAAAAAGAAACTAAGAAATTGGAAATAACATTCAAATAAAGCAATTTAAATTCAGAACGTCATTGTTTTGTTAAAATAAAAAGTTTTTGAAAAATTTTACCTTTGGTATACAGAAAAAACAGCTCTATAAGATTGAAACAAATACAATACATGGCTGCCGGTTAATTTACCAGAATTCATGCAATTTTATTTTAATCGATGAATGAGATGTGAATGTTTTTTGAATACAAATTTTCTATCTTTAATAAATTAGAAGTATTGTCAGTAATTTGGATTTTTTATTTGACTTGCACAAAAAGCACTCTTCATTTAAGTGAATGTTAGGAAATGTCAACATATAAATGGTCAGTAAGTTTGATTCCTGATGCTCTTGATTAGAGAGAATATGTCTGTATAGTGTGTTGTGTTAGACTTACCCCCTCCCCTTCCCCCTCACTGTCAGATTCAGCTGGTACATTCCAGGTGATGACACTATCTCTCTGTTTTACTGGTTCATCAAAGTCAACCTCTGGGCTATACTCAGGTAAATCTAAAATACATACACAAAAATGAGGATAATGTAGGACAGATGAATCATAAAACACAGATTTATACTTTACACTTTCTGTAGTAAAAATATCAAATGTTATGAATTTCTGTCAAATTTGTCCACAAAAGTCATTTCAACAATACTATTTAAATTAAGTATTTTCATAGTAGTACTACGAATCCCATCTACCTTTTCCCGACAACAGAAAAATATAAAGCTTTCATGCCTTAAAGATTTAGAGCACTTGAATACATGAGTCCACCAACTAGTCTAAATTTTATCATCCCAAAGTTACATGTAAGTAGTTTGTTAGTAACAATTACAGGTACAATTTAATATTTCTCTTGAGAGAAATGTTTGGTTAGATCATTAATCAACAAGGGACATCAGGAAAGAGGATCCAGGGTTTAGAGAAACAATTATGTGAACTACAGCATTACAGTGGAAGAAAACCATAGCAAGATTGCAAATAAAAAAAACCCCACTTATTTTTACATCCTTTATTAATACATAGACTTGGTAATATGTGTATGTTAAAAATTATTACTTTTTCTCCAAGCCTTCATGAAAATTACCCTTAACCAATGTCTGAATTATCAAATGCTGAATATTATGTGGTTTAGTTGATCACAGCTTGACCAATGATCAGCCATTACGACCATGCCTAAGCCCTAGTTTTCAGGCCTAGCTAGGTTCTATATGCGTCGTACTAACCTCGGTCTAGTTTATAGTTCAGACGACTGTCTTGATCAGTAGTAGTGCTGCCATTTAACATATTCTCTGTAAAACAGGTCAAGCAAGAAGCATGTCAACCACATCCCAAAATCAAAAGCAGTGAGCCAATGTTAAAACATTACACAATAGATCAAGAGGATGAGTAACTACACCGAGACTTTTAATGTAGGAAAAAGATAGAATATTTATCAATAGGGTAGGTTAAATTAAAGAGTTAAAGATACTTGTTAATTAGAAGTCATATACAATTTATCAGTATAAGTGAACAACAAAGAAAGCATTTCTATACTATGCACATACTATACTACATATGTATTATCTAAGAAAGAAAGCAGGATTGCTATGCACTTCTGTTAAAAATTGCCATTAAAGCTACACACATCACATTTTACTCAAATATTTTATTGTAAAGTGAATTGTCGACTTTGTCAAACCAAGTAATTTTTTTTATCTTTCAAAATTTTAAAAGAGAACTAAAATATTCAATAATTTCTGATCTACCACCACAATTTAATTTTTTTTTTTTTGGAAGGGGAGGGGGGGGAGTCTTTTTGAGAAGAAACAAATGCTCTATCAAAATCCTGAGATCTTAGTATTTAACAGTGCATTGACTACATGGAGATGTATAAATGCTGAGGCAGAGAAAGAGCCATGGCAGATTGTGACATAGGTAGCAAGCTATCAGCGAGAGAAGCCAGGCAAACAGACCTCTGTCAACATTGTAGCTTAGGCGACTGTCTCGATCGGTAGCTATGCTGCCTTTCAGAAGGTTTTCTACAACAAAAATCCCACATCAGTGGACAAATGTGGGAACACTGCATGCATGTATGTTCAATTTCCAGACTTAGATCACTTAAGTTTACTGTGCTTTGCTCCAAAAACATGTGCATAGAAAAACTATGTAAGTTAAGATAGAAGAAATGGCTACCATGCAGTCAACTGAAACTGGGCTAAATTCACGTTCATAAAAAGTTGACAACTCTTCAATGGATAGGATTTTTAATAATTTTCCATTAGGATAAATTAATTTAGGGGTCTAGAATTACAATATTTTTCCTATGACAGAGTGAAAATCCATATCATGATACTTAAATACATATACATTTAAAAATGATGGAATATATATTAAATACAATTTGATTATATGTGTATGTATAAAGTAGTTGAATTTTCCTTGAAAAAAAAAAACCCATAAATTCTTGACCCCCGAGTCTACAAACACACTGTTTAGAAATTTAAAGCTAATTAAGACCAGCCCCTTACCCATGCTTTCTGTGTGGAAGCCTTGTTGAGGCAGGAGAAAACAAGTCAAAACATGTTGTCCCGTCCTCTCATCGAAATCTGTCTGAAACTTTAACATCGGCTTGGCCTGGTTCTCCGAGAGCCATAGAGCCTTCAGGTGGAGATTGGTGATTGTAATGGGAAGATACTCAAGCCTGGCAAAGACAAAAGAAATAGAGCATGACGAGAATTTTAGTATGGGACTGTATCCCAGGCAAATACTATTTCAGTTCTTATTTTCACACTTCTTTATCTTCATTTTGTAACAAGTACTCCTAGCTGACAGCTGGTATAAGTTAAACATTTCTTACTTATTCCCTGACACGTCTAATACATGGAGTTCCTTCAGGTTCCCTAACTCCTGTGGCAGCCTCAGTAGTCGGTTGTCACGTAATGACAGCACATTAAGTCGAACACACTGTCCAATCTGATCAACAAGTCTCATATTAATTCAGGAAAAGGAAGAATTTTACTACAGCATACACAAGCATAGATTGTCTAGTGTTTTACCACAATAACAAAATAAAGTTTTTTTTTTTTTTTTTTTTTTCCAATCTTAAAGTCAAGAAAGAAGAGTCTGGTCTCAAGTCTAGATACATATTCTGCTTACAGAGATAAAGAAAACTTACCTCCACAGGTATTTCCTTAAGTTGATTCCTATCTACATTTAAGTTTGATAAATGAGTCAGTCTTCCAATAGTGGATGGCAATTCCTAAAATATGATTTAAGAAAATGACATATTCACTTCTAACAAAGTTAAGAAAGAAAGCATTGATAAGAAAACTCACAAAGATATTGTCCAGAAATGAATTTAATATGAACTTTAATGGAAAGATGCCTTTTACCAAATTTATGTTAATTCACATGTACAGGGTATTTAAACATTTCATTGCAGGACTTCAACTAAAAATATGGCACTTAGAACATATGAAAAAGACTCCTGCCCTCTCAAACTTTAAAGAAAGGACATAGGTTCAATCAGATTCTTAGGGTATTCCCAGACTTACCTCTAAATAATTCTCTGTGAGTATCAACTCTGTCAAATTGTCACAACTACAAAAAGATAAAAGGCATTAAAGCCATTAATAATATATGTTAGAGGATTTCCCATGTTTTGTGCAACTCGTGCAAATGCGAAATTATTTTCATAACATGTTTTAAACAATCACAGTTATCAATTCATCCACATGATTTTAGTGTGTATAAATAGGAATCCACCTTATTGACTTCAACTAAAATGGAGTGCATGATAAAAATGTGAATCACTCAAGAGAAACAAAAAACTCATCTAAACTACTATCAATATCACAACACTATTCTTTGAGATGTATTAGAAAATAAGATAATTGTTTTATTTTCTAGTTTGAATTAAAATGACCTACTTTCCAATCTCTGGTGGCAGAACACCCAGTTTATTCTGGTCCAGCTTCAAAATAGAGAGTTTCTGTAGTGACCCTAAAAGTAGAATCCAATTATGATAGTTTTCTTATAGGTCTAGATAATGAAATTAAAAAGCAGTGAAAAAATTTTTGACTTTAAATAAATGATCTCAAATACATGTATAAAACATGTTTCAAAATGGACTTGGGTCAAGTTATTTTTATATCAATTATCTTAACATTTGAGCATGTTACCTCAATTAAATTATCATATAAAATAAATGTGAATAGATGATTATTATTTATTCTGAACCTTTGACCTAGTGACCACCTATGCATAAAATAGAGTCTGTAGGTTACTTGGTCCTAATTTTTTTGTGATAAATCTTCCAAGATCACGGAGACCTGATGATTACTACAGTGCAGCTTATCTTGATGCAGGCCACTAATTATGTGTTACATAGCAATTCTAAACCAAAAAGCAAATATTCCCAGACATTTTGCCATATTCCCACAGGACTATCATTTAAACAACTGACGGACTTGACCCACATTTTTAGCATATCCTACTGACCCACATTTCCAACTCACCGATTCCCTCTGGGAGATCTTCCAAGTCGTTCTGTGACAAACACAGATCCGTCAGGTTCTGTAGTCCACAGATTTCTTCTGGGATAAATGTTAGCTGATTTTCTGACACATCTATTTGTGTCAACTTCTTTAAATTACCAATCTCCTAGGATTCAATGAAAAAGAAGAGACTTGTTAGTGGTTTGTTTATTAAGTTTTGGATTATTTGTTTATTTTTTCACATTTGTTTCAATTTATCCACTCTTTCACATGAAATACTCATATTATCCCTTTTCTTTAAATAATTTAACTCCCTATTCATAAGTCCTTAGTATAAATGCTGCCTAGTCTCTAATTAATTAACTTACTGGTGGAAGGTCCTGTAATTCATTGCAATCTAACCAGAGTTCTTGTAAGCTTGGGAGACTTCCAATTATTTCAGGCTAAAAGAAAGAAAAATTGTTCTGTATTGTTACAAAACTTGTATTCATTTTTACTATCTAAAATTGAAAATGTCTTTGTATATTTAGCATGTTTTTTGCTATGTAAAAGTACCATTAAATAACCAGTAATTACACCCTAGACAAATAGATGTGCTCTTTTTATTGCCAAGACATATCAACTGTCAGCTAATGGCTCCTACAAAAGAACCAGTAGTTCTTTCTTATTATCTCTAGCTGTCCTAAGACATTTTTTAGTCGATCAATAACAGGTTACAAAAGTGAAATCAGTGGCTTTGACAAATTCATCTCAACAGTGTTCCTCCATTAGGGGGATAAACTAGATGCCGCTTTCTGAGAGGTACAATTCATTTGTCCTTGATGTCCTCTGATCAATATTTTTATGTTCATACAAGTACTACTTTTACAAGACATGTACTTCATAAACAAATGAATCGAATTTATCAAAAATCTCTGCAAAACTGGATTAAAACTGTACATTGGAGCCAATTAATCCTCATTCATAAAAAAGCACTTTTGATTCAGAACATTAATTCCTTTGCTTAAAAAATTGCATCTTCAGAAGGAATCCCAACCTTTATAAGAATAATATGATTTGTGTAGAGTGTTGCAGATAAGAACTTTACTAGGGAACATACAATATTCAAAATATTGCATCATGATTTTTCTATAAATAAAATTTGAAGACAGTTATTCTGAAGACTTCCAATACCTATCTTTACATACTTCGTATTTAACTCAAAAATACTCATTATATACATTCTAGAAAATATGTGATTTATTGCTTCAGCAATTGTATGAGGAAATGAAGAATGGGAAAATTAATATCTTACTCAAATGGATTTTTGGGAAAGAAACACTGATCTTGATTTACCTTAGAGTAAAATCTGAAGTATATGCCACCTATCACTATAACATATCTAAATGCAACATCTTACAAAACTGTGACATAAAGGAATGGACAAACATCATCAGCCCCTTGACAATTTTATGATGTTTTTTTTTTAACCAGTTTAGTTGTATTATATTAACAGATTAAGACACCCACCAGCTCCTTGATGTTGTTACTCCCCAGGTCCAGGATCTCCAGCTTGACCAAGAAGGACATGGACTGGGGCAGAAACTGAATCATGTTTTCTCGTAACTCCAAAGACACCAGATTAGTGAGGCTGCAAACAGAAACAGTTCAACTGATTTTTAACATTTGAATATATATTGATATTTCATTGTAATTTACAATGCTAAAAATTAGTATTTCTTCATATCAAGTACAAGAATAATATGTGCTTTATGGTTCATTACAGTGATCATGGCAAATTGTATGTGGAGAAATTTATGCATTCATGGCTATTATACATACACAATTCTAGTTCAATTTTATATATAATGCTATCACTTAAACTAGTATAAATCCCAATTTAAAATTGAAATACATAAATGATAATAAAAACTTTAACCATGAGAGATGATTCAGGAAGGAGACTGACAAATAAAAGATACTCCGGGGATTTTGCAATAGTGTTGAAACAAGGGTCTAAATCATACAAGGAAGTGTCTCTCTCACATATCTTCTTATTAAAACTTGAATAACTTGCACTCAATCATTCTTGACTCCTTACAACAAAGTCTGCAACATACAGTGGAACCTATAGAATCCTATACCTTCCAATATCTGGTGGCAGTCGCATGAGCGAAACATCATTGAGTCCCAAATGTGTGAGATTTCTCAGCTGCGTAAAACCTTCTGGTAGTCTGTAATGAAAAAACAAAGCATTTTAATACACTGAAAAATCTTTAATTTGGGCTTAAAGCATCATTACTTTACACTGGAAACTTCGAGCGCTAGATTAGAAAGCATCTCCCACCCATTTAGGTCCACTATGGTATTGGTTAATTCTGCCTTGCTTAAAAGCATGCCATTTTCCAGATAATTAATAAAGGCACTTTTGTTAACAGAACATCAATATTGGCATTCCTCAAAAAGGTCAACACAGATTTTTTTTTCTCAATTCTGTCACTTTGGCACTAAGGAAAGTTGAAGAATTTTCTTTGATTTGTATCAGAATAACATATGTTTTATCTTATTTTTTTTTTTTTTTATTTCGGTTTTACTTTTATTTTGAGCACCCATCTAGATTCTTTCCTATTAAATGAGCAATACATATATTTTGGTTGTTGTGTGACACATGACATCCTCTTGTTAATTAATTAAGTGATGTAGATTTCATGTCAATGAACACAAGTTCACATCCCCTTTAGCAGTTTTGCCTAACCATTAAAAAAAAAACTTTACATGTTCATAAGAAAAATACAGAGGTAGAAAGTATAAATTCTTCAGTTTGCCGGATACGGGCTTTCACTGGGTATATTATCTACTGACAATGCTTGTAAAACAATTGTTTTTTTTAATTATCTAAAAATATACTTGCATGATGTCAAATCCTATCAAACATTAAGTACGCAGGAATTACATACATAATACAAAATTATATAACTTAATAAGTCAAAAATGTGACCACACCCACTGCCTGCAAATTTACTGCACATGTGCATACTTATAAAACAAACTGTACAGACTGCACCTATACCTATATAATCCTTGGATTAAATGAATTGTTCACACTGCTATATAATTAATGAGTCTAGGGCTGATCAGCAGTTCAGACAGAATACTTACTTTGTAAGAGGATTGCTGCTGACATCCAAAACCTGAAGATTTTTTAGGAACTTAATGTTCTCAGGAACATCACCAATATCTACAAAGTAAAATGAATGTTTAAATGATATAATAGTACTTTTAACACCACATATTAACCAAATGATCCAACAATACATTAATATGCATAAATAATAATATTTACATAAATAAAGGTAAAATACTTCTAATACTAGTATCTTATCCTCAAAAAATCTTAAATGTCCTCTGAAAATAAATGAAAATGGTGTGCTTGAATTTGATCCATCCCTAAATTGGTTAAGATAAAATTAGATAAGAGACTTGAAAGTTGTTGGCTTGTCTCCTCAACACTTACATTTAATTATTTTTTATTTATTTATTTTGCCTAAATATAAGTATTGATAGATTTCTTTTTTATCAAACATTACAGAGGCGGACACTAACATGTATCTTTTTGTCCTATTCTCTGAACAAATGATATCCTGGGATATTGATTTTGGTGCTTTCTCGCTTCAGAGCAATAAATCTCCGACTCTGTTAGCTAAGTAATCACTTTATTTGTCAAAAATTAATTCCTTAAATATCTTTCTAAAGCCTTCACTGTAAATTAAATACTGCATTAATATTTCTCCTTGTATTATTTGGCATTAAGCAAGACTGAAAGTCCCCTCTCCACTAGCTGTCAGCATTACACTGTAAGAGGTAGAATTTTTCACATGGATAAAATTGGGTTGCTTTGTGACCTAAATGGTCTTTATTTCATTGTGTCGAAAGAAACCATTTTATTACTTAAATATAAAGTATGTTCCTTTTTTTAAAGATTCAAAATAAAAGATCAAGGTTTTCCAAAAAGGAAATTTCCTATGTACTGCAAGTATGTAACAATTATATTAACTTTACAACTAGCCATGAGATTTTTCTAGACTTAATTTTCCACCTCAACCTTTGAATTTATGGTACCATAAGTTCAATACACTGTTTTTATCACAAAGTAAATAATTTTTTACTGATATGATCTAATAAAGGAAAATTATTATATGCATATTAAAGTCATTGGTCACCCCTTTATGACATGATTCAGCAGTAACTAAATCTCTTCATTTCCTCGCTAAACAATTGTTCTGGTATTATAAACACAACAAAAAGTTCAAATCCCATCCTTGTACAAAATGAAACATGAGACTGCCAACAAATGAAGCTTTACATATAAATACTGTCACTCTCTCTAGGTTCAGGGGGTGCTGGTCCGTGTACTGTGTATCAGATAACTAGGAATGGATTACAAGACATTTCTAAATATACCACATACTTTAGTCATGCTATCACAGTTTATTAACCAGTGTAACAATTTACTCAGTACTACACACTGATAATTATCAGAACCTTATTGCACTTACAGCTGGGGAAAATTAAAAGAACACTGCACTATTAAAATTGAGACATAAAATGTTAAAGAGGGAAATTGAAGTAATTCATGTTTTTTTCCCATTGATTTTTCTTATTCCGTTGAAGAGAATGATTTTCCTGCATTATCTTCTATATAAGGAATAGGTCAGACAATATCATGTATATAATCTGGTATTATGAGGAAAATCCTGCTTTAACATTGAAGAAGCCCACTAGACAAATGAGGAGACGATGGGTGAAAATTGATTTTACTGGGTTGACAAAGAACATATAAACTCCATCAGAAAGGGCATTAAAGGAGCTGAGAGACGAATTAGAGGGCAGGATCGGAGACTGGCAGACTTCTAGATGTGTGGACTAGACGTGTGTATGTACCAGGTCAAGTCAGCCCAGAATAATAAATCAAACCTGCCCAACTCAATGTATTGTCAGTTTGTCACATTAATAAGCACTTAAAATTATGTTCCAAGGAGTTATGAAAAAATTGACCACTTTACTTTTAAGAGATTTAAATTGCTGAGTTTTAACGATATTAATATAAAATTATTATATTTTTTCAACAATTTTCGTTTTGGTTTGGTTTATTCTTATTTTGTCGACTTCATTCAAATTATAAATAAAAGTACAATAATACAGATTCTACTGGTTTATATGTGATAGACATGTCAATTATAGGTGATGTGTGTATGGATCTGTTTTAAGAATGGTCTTGTTTTATAGCTGTCACACTATCGCTTATAACACTGAACTACAGCATATCTGTTTTTATGTTGATTTGTTCACAGGTTTTATAGAATACTAAGCATTTATAGCTTCTATTTATATTGGGTTGTCTTCCCTGATTAAAAAAAGTTGGAAGACTTAATAAAGGTGCAGAAAAAGAGAACTGACCTTGACAAAGCTCAAAGAGAACTAAAATTATCATCTGGGAACCATTTCATGCAACATATAAATTTCAAACCTTGTCTTTTGAACTTAAAATCTATAACATTTTTAAAATTAGATTAATCTCTTAAAGCTTTATTTCAAGCATAGGTCTTTACATTGCTTTTGTCTGATATCTGACTTACAAAAAAAAAAAAATGGGGGGGGGGGGGGGTAGTTAAAAAAAATCCACATATAGAATAACCAATTTTGCAATGAATTTCATTAAATCTAAAGATTTTAAAATTACACATTCTTTTCATATCTCCTCACATATAATCAAATACATTACCATCAAAGTTTACTATAAAATTCCATATACTAAGTATACGTCCTTGGCTATGCTGAAATCAATTCCAAAACTGACCTACTTTTATGGGCTGACTTTAGCTTAGGCCTCTGATCATCAAGTTTACATTTTTAGTAAAGTGGAAAGAACGGGATGATTTTTTCCAGGAATTGATTCATTTGCTTATTGGCACTATGTCACTAAAAAATCTTGTCTGATTTGATCATTTTGTTTAACTTTTGAAGTTACAATTATAACATTTTTATCAGAATGAGATAATTCTTTAAAAATCTAAAAGCATATAAAACATTCTGGGGAAATTTTGTGTAATCATAGCTCCATTCCTACAAGTAAACATGGCTGTACAGCTGTTGAGGCAGATGTTTTATAACTTCTTTTTTCAAAAGTAATATTTGCAGAATTAGCCTTATTAAGATCTGGTCATAAAAAATCAACATGGAAATGTTGCAATTTGACCTCATTTAAACTTTGATACTTATTGTACTTGATTATAATGCAATGAAGGGTACTTGATGAGTCTAAAACAACTCTCAGTTTGTCTGAAAACCCCTGCATAGATCATCAACATTGGGTCTCATTTAATGCAATACTAACTCTATTATGTTCATCTGCAATGTTATACTCTGTAATACACTTTTTCATCCTATACACCCTTGTGAACAGCAACAGTAAGTTATAAAGGGAATATATGAACAGCCTGCTAGAATCCCAACTCATGTGCAGATAATTATTAGAAATTGATTTGTAATCAAGATATATCAGCAAAGCATTTTACAGTCCTCATCTGGGGATACCCTGTCTACTATGTTTATACACCAGTTCAAGTCTGACAAACTACGGTCTTCTTGGACTTGACCTTAGGGTAATGTATAGGTGAAAAATCTAGAGATCTGGAAGGGATAAGCTTAGATTGCACAGCTGATAGAAACTTACAGCAAGGTTTACAACACAAAGTGGAAAGTTATCCAAATAAAAACAGGGCCTCAAGCATAAAGATTAGCTGTCATACACATTGTTTCTGATAAACCTACCACATGGGAACAGGCACTGTTTACTGATAATTTGTTCTAAAGGAGTTAATTATCTTAATTACAAATTAATATATTATGAGGCAAACACGTTTCTAACATTAAAGCTGTGTGCTCTGACTCATGGATGTGTTTGTCATCATCAAAATAATGAAGATATAAAACTCTTTTGAACGATCTAAAACCATTTTTTTTTTAAAATTATCTTTGGAAATAAAGAGACCTTGTAAATCTTATCATGATTATTAAAATAGCTTTATTCCTTAGATTAAATTTACACAGTACCACTATTTAATGCATTCAATGAATGGTATCAAACAAATTAGATAGTGTATTATATTAGATTTAAATATTGTTGTTGCACGCTATCGCTATGTAGTTTATTTTTTAAAAGTTTTCAAACCAGATAAAGGCATAGAAATTAATTGAAACAAATGATGTTTACAACATACTTATGACACAATGTGTACTATAATATTAATTTGATACTGAATAATTTCAAGATGCACATATCATAGTCAATCAAGTTGGTCTGCACTTTACTTCAAAGTGACAAGATCCTGATTTTTTTTTTTTCAAAAATTTAAATTAAATTTTGCTTATTTTAGGAGAGGAAATAAATATAAAATAACAAATACAAGCAGGACCATGTAGTGCCTGAGCCAGACTTACTTATTTATATATGAATAAATGCATGTAAATATTTACACACATGCACATTACATCACTGCCTGGTGTGAGTTGTCTAGCTGATGTCTACATTTTCACATAGATAACTTGTTAGGCTTCAAGCTTTTAAGGCAATTCATAAATATAAACAGATTTTTTTTAGTGCTATAAAAATGCAGTTTATTAAAATACTGTAACAGATGTTAACTTACACATATATTATATGCAGATTTTTAAACAAAACAATGAAAACAATAATGCAACAAGGTAATAAAATATCTGCATTCAGTCGTTCTAAAAATCTATTTATATGCCAGCATGTGCACTTCAAAGGTTGTGAATAATGTATGTGCCAGTATGGTGTCCTTAGCATCTGATGAAGTGACTTAGTGAATAAGAACATCCCAACTAATGTGAATCATGACTGATTCATGTTTAAATAGACACCCATATGCTATAGTGTAAACACTACATATGCATGTATATATACAGCAACATTCTATAGAGAAATGTTCTCAAGGTTAACGCTTTAGTGAAACAAAGCATTATCAATTTGTTATTTAAGTACAAAGACATAAACATTAAGCATTAGATTCAAATTTCTTAAATATGAGTGTATGAATCGAAAGGATTTTTAGCCTTTTATTTTGTACACAAACCACATTGGCGCGGGCACTATTAGGAATCTCAAATCAAAAGTGGACTGGAAAGTGCAATTAATGGTAATAATTTTGTGATTCCCAATTAAAATATCTTTCAGGACTAGTCTATCACGATGTATACAATAATAATTTAAAAAGAAATAATTTGGATTCTTCATCAAATAAGAATGATCGACTACATTTTAAAATAAACATACCATGAAAACACTAACAGATAAAAATTTCTTCATAAGATGAAAAAAGTTAAAATTGATCCACCCCACTTCTCCAGAAAAGTGCAATTTTATAACATTCGGGATTTTCTCTCCAATAGATAGTTTTTTCTATTATGAATGAATGTTTTCTTTTACAAGTGTGACAGGAGGAGGTAAAACTTATTTATTAAATGTTAATTCACATAACCGCAGATCTGTAGCTCACAGTTCTAAAAAAATTTGGGATGTGCGACCAGAGAGCTACAGTGCCAACCATTGAAAGAAGTTAATATTGCACATAAAAGTGCGCTCTTTCTCAATTTATTTCTCTGAAATATTACTAACTGTGTGTTACCAACATATTCTTTTACTACTTTCACAGCAAAGCATTCCCCAAAACCATTGGTAAAAGCCCTCCTGAGCCTGAAACTGAAAATTTCCCTTATTTATACTGCCATTTTGGGTGGCAGGCCATTTCAGTCAAAGGCGCTTTGTGCATGACTTGGACATGCTGTTTTATTAATTATGAAAGTAGTTAAAGAATATGTAGAAACACAGATAGTAATATTTTGAAATATAAAAATAAAGAAAGAACCAGTGCACTTTTTTCTGCACATTAAATCTACACTTTTTTCAGTAGGTGGTACTGTAGCTCTCTGGTCATTCATCCCAAATTTATTACACCAGCGAACTACAGATCTGCAGCTAATGTTTGCAGAGGAGAATATAACTTTTCATGGTTAAACAATTGAAAAATGAAAACTTTTATTACGTGAAAGTCAAAAATTTGATTTAAAAAAAAAGAACTTATTAAAAAATGCGACTTTGATGAGGTATTTAACCTCTTAGCCCTCAAATGTAGCTCTACAATCTATACCTATCTAAATTACTCAATTTATTTAAAGATTTGATATAAGCCTTTCTCTGCTAAAAATTCATGCAACTGAACTTCATTTTACATTATAGTGTCTTATTCAGGTCAAGAATTTTGTGGCAACTTTTAACAGGTCATGTTGAGGCATCAATTACTTTTTAAGGTGGGAAAAATTCCTAGCATTCCACTTTCTGTTTATCAAGGATATAAGAGTTATTCCCCTTTACAAACAAATCTTTAACCAACCTGGAATTTTAGCCTCTTTTATTAAACAACTGATGAAAATATATTTCTGGAAATACCCAGCAAATAACGAGTTGGATAATGAGCAAAAAAGAATTACATAAAGCAAATGTACACTTTGTGGCTAACTTCTAACACACCCAACTATCAGTAGCATCCAATATGGCGACTGGTATCAACTTCCGATTATTTAGATTGAAAAAATAAACTCAAAATTGTAGACATACCGTTCCTGCTGACGTCCAATTCCATGAGGTTGACAAGGTTTGCAACCTCTGGTGGTAGTCTGGCGATCTCATTATCACTCAAACTCAATTTCCTGAGCTGAACAAGACGAAAGAACCCCTGAAGAACAGAAAGTCATATTCATTACCAAGGCAAACTAGCACGCCATGTTTCAAACTCAGTTTAAAATTCTAAGCATTCTTACCTTTGGCAAATCCTTTAACTGATTTGCATCTAATAGTAATTCCTCTAAACTTCGTGTGTACCTCAAAACATCGTCTGGGACTTCAGTCAAACTACAATGTCTTCTGTCAATATATTCCACTTGCCGGTTGCAAGCTTTAAACAGAGGTATACACTTAAACATTGTCCGATTTTCAACTATTTAAAACGAAAGGGAACATCTAAAATGTGTTCTAAGATCATCAAACTAAAAGGAAGAGGAGAAAATAAAAATTCAGACAGATTTCACATCGTAAACATTCAGTCCGTACGATTTCGAATGTGCTTACATTTATCAGCGTGACGTCACGGCTTTCCCATAATGCACTATCCACAGGTACGCGACACATCTTCCGTCTTCAGGTGCGATAATAAATTGAATATTAACAGCTACTTTGAAGACCATTGAAATAGGCAATTCTCTTCTCTTATTTTAACGAATATTTACGTATAGGGTAAATGCGTGTATACTTTTACATTAATTATGTAAAAAAAATTATCAGGGACCCATGAATTAATGAAGTCTTATTGCTATGCTTTTCATAATATTTAACATAATATTCTTAAGATTCTTTACACACTTGAATTTTACTTTTATCTGTATTGAGTTTTTGAGAGACTCAGAGAGGGAGAGAGAGAAAGAGAGAGAGAGAGAACTGGAATATTAGTGACTGACAAGTATAGCTTTATAATAAAATTAGCATTTTTTCTGAGAGTAGATCTAACCTAATAATAGACCTTAGATTACTTCTCTCGGCGATTTTTAAAATCGGAAACAAAGACAAATAGATAAAAAATTTTCCTTAATAAATTTCCAAAAGACTTCTAGAGTACTGATGAATTTGCATTAATATTATTAATATATTATTAAAATTATATAGGTCCGTGGATATACCTTTCGTTTACTTTTAAGAGATTTTAGTTTTACACGAAAACTGAGGAAGTCATACCGGTAATTATTAATTTCGATAACATTGGAGCTACCAAGGCTTCTTCTCACTAAATAGTTTCGCACTTAGATGATGTTTTCTTCATTTACTTTTTTTTTTAATCTGAGTCGGTCTAATTTTAATATACCCGCCCCGCAACTCTAAGACTCGACCGCTCATGCTTTTGTCCTCCACTTTTCAATTCCATTTCGACTCCTAGTTCTTATGAACATTCGTTTAATATTGACTTAAACGTGCCTGATGCAAGCCCAGGAGCAAATAAAAAGTGCTAAAGATTGCTCGATTTTTTTTGTGGGGGGGGTTGCAACATAAACCCCTCGATCTACTGATAGATCTATCCACTCGACTTAAATGTATTTCTGATTAAATGCTTAAAATGTAATTTAAAAAAATGGAAAACTCACTGTGATAAATTCAACAACAACAAAAAGATCACCGAAACGACATTATGAAGAGCAAAACGGTTAGCATAGTCATCTTAACATTGTTTCTATTCTCCAAGTACAATACCCACCAAACAAGATCCGGTTAAGAAAAGATGATGCAAACAGAACACAGGGTAACCTTTGAGATAACAGGAGAAACACAATGAGGATTCAGTCATGGCTTTGGAGCCTCTCGTTCTCTAAGTAAACCCCCTAACTGGGAGCCTCATCAACTGAGTCACCTCAGGAGCCTCTCATTCTCTACGTAACCCCCTATCTGGGGCCTCATCAACTGAGTCACCTCAGGAGCCTCTCATTCTCTACGTAACCTCCGTGCTGCAGGGGCCTCATTATCTGATTCACCTCAAAAGCCTCTCATTGTCTAAGTAACCCCCTATCGTCGGGCCTTATTTTCCAAGTCACCTCAGGAGCCTCTCATTCTCTAAGTAAATCCCTATCTGGGAACCTCACCTTTTGAGTATCCTAAGGAGCCTCTCATTCTCTGTGTAACTCCCTAGCTGGGAACCTCATCATCTGAGACTCCTACGGAGCGTCTCGATCTCCAAGTAACCCCCTATCTGGGTGCATCATCCTCTGAGTCACCTCAGGAACCACTCATTCTCTATTTAAACCCCTAGCTTGGGCTTCATCTTCTGAGTCACCTTCATTTTCGATTCACCTTAGGGCTGGGGGCTTCTCATCCTATGAGATACCAAGAGATGAAGATCTTTCATCTTTTGTCTGACTCTACGGCCAAAGGCCTTCCATCCTTTGAGTCAACAAAGGTCTAAGAGATTCTAATTCTATGATTAACTCACGGGTTGCAAATTGGCGCTTTTAATCTACTGAATTAACCCCAATGTAAGCTAGGGAACTCTCCATCTTTTTGTCACCTAAGGGCTAGGAACCTCATATCTACCCAATGACGGGTAATTAATCTCTTATCCCGTGAGTCACTTTAGAGTTTAATAGGCTTCTCGTCCCCTGACTCATCAAAGGGTTTGAAGCCTTTACTCCTCCGAGTCATCCAACGGGTACGAGCATATGCATTCTCTGGTACAAGTTACAAATCCTACATGCTCTAAGTCAACAGAAGGATAGTACCTCATATTGGCTGAGCCAAACTGGCGATTGTGGGCTACTATAATCCTATGAGTCATTGAAAAATCTGACGGTCACTCATCTTCTAACAGTCACAATTAAGGACTTTTTTGTTTCAAGAATTCTTCACTCATACTAAGACGCCAACACTTACAGTTAGCCTGCGAAGTTAGAACTGTACCAGGACCTCTGAACAGTGAGATATCTTTTTCAGTGCCAGCACCTACTGCGAAATGGAGTGGGACATCGTTTTATATTGTCACGTCCGTAGGACAGTCTCCACATGCATCTCGCCTTGGGATTTGAACGTACATACGAATCTTACTCAGAGACTCTAGAGCAAACGCTTTAACTACCGAGTCGCTAATTAATTTGAGTTAAGTTAGCTCATGACTCATGGAAGTCTCTCGTTCAGGGAGACACCAAGCGGTTGAGGACCTCTCATATTTTAGTCATTTATGGATTCGGGCCTCTCTTTCTTTGAATCCTCAAAGGCGTAGAAACTTCTCATCTTCTGAGTCAACCACAGTGTAACAACTAAGAGCATTTCATCATCTGAGTCACTCACAAGCTGTGACCTCTGACTAACCCGGATGCTTGATCTCTCGTCCTTTAAATAAACAAATGACTCGGAGACTCATCCTGTAAGTCACTCTAGGGTTGGCAGCTTTTCATCCTCTAAGTTAACCCCTGTGTTGAATAAGGACCCCTTTTCCTCTCCAACACCCAAATGCACAAGTCATTCATCTTCGTTATGCAAGGACAGAAAGAATCGCCCTAAGGTTAGGACTGGTGTCCTTTCATTTTCAAGTCACTCCTTAGTTTAGAGCATTTAATTCTTTGAATATAGGGTTTGGAGGCATTCATTCACCAATTCACTCAATTTGAGGAGTTGCTCATCCTCCGCTTCACCGCTAGGTTAGGAACCTCTCATCTTTCAAGTCAATTAACGGGAAGTATGTCGTCTTCAGATTCTCGACACAACCCGCACGGCGCCATGGTTTGATCGTCTGCTCTTAAGACGCGGAATAGGAGTTGATTCTTACATTGCGGGTTTGAATCCCACTACGTGACGTGGAGAATGGTACTGCGGATGAGTCGTGTAAATCGTGTCTCAGTAGGTCCTGGCACGGAAAAGATCTCTCACTGCTCAGTGACGAGTGACTGTCAAGAATCGCTCTAGATTTGCAGTCCTCCACTGAAATGGTGGCGTCTGTTCCTGCTTTATATTTGGATATTATACTGAACTAATATATGAATAGAATACAGACATGTCCATGGCTTTTAAACTTTATTTTCTCCACTTCAAATACTATAAGTATCTATATAATTACTTTTTTTGCAAAGACAACCTATCGTTCATTCGAAACCTGGCACGTTTTGTTCCATTTGTTAGGCCATTTTTGTTTTTGTTTTAATTGAATGGATGACTTTAATCGGTTTTTAGGATACACAAAGTATTCACATGTCTAACACCAGTGGCGTAGCATCGTTTTTGAAAGTGGGGGGGCCAGGCAGAGAAAAATTTTTTTACTTACCTGAAAAAAGTTGACAAGCAAAAAAAAAAAAAAAAAAAAAAAAAAAAAAAAAAAAAAAAAAAAAAAGGTAAAAGTTGCCCAAAGTCGAAAATCCTATTTCGTGCGGGGGGGGGGGGGGGGGGGGGGGGGGGGGGGGGGGGGGAGTAAACTTTTTTCAGTGTTACTTTCAGTACCAATTCTACTACATTTTCGGTACATTTCTAAAAGTGCGGGGGCCAACCAGGCTTTCAATTAACATTTCCTATAGTGTAAGTTAGGTTGGGAAAAAAAGTGGGGGGGCCAGGCTCCCCCTGGCCCCCCCGGATACTACGCCCCTGAACACGGGGAGCTAATAAGCTCAATTTATTGAAAAATAGTTTTTACTTCAGTTCTTCCAAGATAGGAAAATGTAAAAGTTGAAGATAACGAACAGAAATTTATCAATCTCATAAATGCAGTAGACAAAACGAATCGTAAACAGGACGAAAAACACGGACCCCTGGATACGTCAGAGGTTGGATCAGGTGCCAAGTGGAGTAAGCGTCCCCTGTCGACCGGTCCCACCCTTTGTGAGCCTTGTGTATTGATCAGGTATAGGGGGGTTGACAGAAGTCAAATTATTAAAGTATAAAGCAATGACCTAAGAAATTGTATGAAACTCGTCAGAAAAAAATAAGACCCAATAATAGGTTTTACAGACAAGGTCATTTAATCGACCACAGAATTTGAAAAAAAGGACTTTAAATGAGGCTGAAAACATGTTAAACTTGATGCTGTTATTTAAACAGTAATATCCACACTAAAAACGCACCCATTCTCTTGAAGCAGCCACAAGTTATTGATTTACCGAGTGTGTAGTTTACATAAGGTATTAATATAGATTAATATAAAATTATATTACCTGAAAACCCAATTTTTTTAATAAATAGAGGGGGAAAAAAATGGTGAACCGAAATTTTGAAACTTTATTGCAAATCTGCAGACAAGTACAACCATCGTCAAAATAATGATTTGGTTAGTATGGTAAATTATAAGGAAAATTATTGGAAATTGTAGGGAATTTAAAATGTCTATATATTACCCCCATTGGCCCCAAGAGTAAAAAAGATTCCAAAACCTTATGACTCATTTATAGGACACCAGCAAATATCTTCCAAAAGGTGATTTGGGTTCTGAATAAGTTGTCGCTGCTGTAATGTTGGCTACAACTTGGCAACAGCTAGTACATGTATACGTAAGATATCTTTCTGTTGCAATGAGCCAGGGTGAAAATACAGATAAACTTCAGTATTTTGAACCCTTAAATCTCGAACACAATGGA